TGCGAAAGATTCTGGCAAGAACCGTCTGAGGCAGCTGTTGCTGGATGTCGGTGCCAAGAATCTGGAGCCGGATCTGAAGACGAAGCTGTCTGAGTCTGAGGAGATGGTCTCTGCGAAGCTCACTTACCAGAGTCTGGACCGCACTCTGTGGACAGCCTGCTTCGCACCTCTGGAGGATCTGGCGACCAGGGTTGCCAAGCCCTCTGAGTTCAGAGACCATGTCTCTGATTTGGTCGTGATCTGCTCCGACCAAATCCCTCTGTGGATAAAGTCTGGCAGCGAGCGAGAGCTGTTTGCTGAGTGGGAGCACAACCCTCTGCCCCAGCAGCATCTGCGAGAGGCTCTGAAGAATCACCATCTGACCTCCTCTGACCAGGTGAAGTCTGGCGATCTGGTGGCACCTCTGCTGCAGGCTGTGAAGCCGTCTGCTGAAGCTGCCCGTGCCTCTGGTCAGAGGCAGAAGAGGGCCTTTCTGGACGCGGACTCTGTGCGCTACCGTGTCACCTACGAGGCCAGGCAAGCTCTGTACGGCCTCTGCAAAGACCCTGCTCTGGAGGGCGAGTCTGGTTTGAGCGGGCAAGTTCTGCCTGGTCTTCTGGTGGTGCACGGCTCTCACGCTCGTCTGAACAACATCGACAGCTCTGGTCGATTTCTGCGAGACGAGACGTTTGAGTTCTCTGGCAAGATGATCTGCCGCAAAGCAGGCTCTTCTGCTGGCAATCTGCTCCGTGGCTGGAGGCAGGCCCGGGACAAGGATCCTTCTCTGTTTCGCCAGATCAGTCTGATGAGCCAGCCCTCTGCGAATGTGGATGGCATCATCTTCGCCTGGGCTCAGGAGGAGCTGGCTGCTCTGGCACCTGCCTCTGTCCATGTCCGCGACTGCTTCGCGGCGGCCTGGTCTGTCTCTGGGGCAGAGTCTCTGTTCTACTCGCAGAGTCTGCAGACGGTCATTGGACCGAAACTGACTGCGAGTCTGCAACTGACTGACACAGACTATGCCAGATCTTTCAAAAGTCTGGCAAGGTCTGCCATGGACGGCCTGAGGCTGCTCTAATCATTTTGTTTTTGCTTCCCTTCTCTGATGTCCGGTTTAATTACACTGTCCTAAACCATACGTGCCTGCAGGCATGCCGGTCAGACTGCTCTGCTGGCAGCTGGCGAGAAGGAGTTCTGGCGAGCGAGCCATCTGGACATGGCGACGGCTGTGGTGCAAGCTCAGACGAAGATGTCTGAGCGACAGGCCTCCAAAGACTGGATCGTGTCTGGTCTTCGCCGCAACGGTCTGCTGGCTTACAGACCGGACTTCACCAAGCAGACTCTGGTGCCTCTGAAAGACGAAGACTGCTGCGGCGCCTCCATGGGCCGCTCTGCTCTCCTCTATTTTTCCAGCTTCAAGTAATCTGTAGCTTTTTTTTCCTCGACATGTTGGCAGCCGAGGTTCTGCAAGGACGAAGCCAGCCTGGCTGAAGGACCGCTACTCCTGGCTGGATGCATCTGGCATTCCAGCCCAGCCGGACTGGTCTGCTCTGCACGGAGCCAAAGTCGTGGCGGATCTGGTGGAATGGAGCTACTACAACTCGGACTCGCAGGACGAGGCTCTGGAAAACCAGGTCTCCGAGGCCCTTCTGAACGTGCACGAGATGCCACTGGATCTGCAGCTCCCCTGCATCGAATCTGGCGTCCTGACACTTTCTCTGGACCTGCAACGTGCAGCCTGGCAGAAGCAGCTCTCTGCGGACAAAGACACTCTGCACAAGAAAACTGTCAAGCGAGACGTGAAGCAGATGATCACTCTGGCCAAGCGGAAGCTTCGAGGAAAGCTTCTGGAAGCCATGAGGCATCGTCTGACACAGATGTCCCGACAGCAAGCTTTGCAACGTCTGGTGCCGAGAGCCTCTGAGAAGAAGCCCTCTGTCGTGAAGAAGGCCGTTTTGAAGCAGAAGAAAAAGACGGCCCTGGCCCACGCTGCGAAGGCTCTGGCGAAGGCCAAGGCTCTGGACGACAAGCCCTCCGGCGACTCTGCTTTGGTTCCTGGCCCTGCTCCTGCTGACCCCGTCGCTGAGAAGGCCTCTGAGCTGAAGGAGGCAACGAAGGGCCCTCTCTACGGCCGAGTCTGCAGGATTCTGCGAGAGGACCACACCTGTGGCAAGTCTGGCAAGTGCTCTATGCACAACCTTCTGACGAACCAGGTGTCTCTGATTGGCCACTGAGTCGCATTTAATTTATTTTCTTCAATAATTAAGACAGTTTCTGTTTCATTGTCTGCTCAGGTGTAGGGGATGCCTGTGCCACCGTGATCCTCTCTGACAAGGACGTCTGCGAGGTTGATCCACTCTGGCAGACTCCGAAGAAGTGGAAGAATCTGCGCCTGAAGAGGGAGCTGAAGCAGACTGTTCTGCGAGCTTGCGGTGGCTCAGCCCTCTTTTTGGAGGCTTCTGGTGGGTTCTTCGCTGCGGAGCCTGTGGAGTTGCTGAAGTTCAAGAAGTCTTTCCCGCAGATGCTTCTGGACCAGCATCTTCGGTACGGCTGGGAACTTCTGCGGTACAATCTGAGCGACTCCGACGAGAACTGGTTCCTGGACAACAAGATCTGCATGGTGGACCCGAAGCTCTCTGGGCAGCTCCTCGCCGAACACGACCGCCCCGAGCTTCTGCAGACTGCTCTGGACAGACTTCGCTCTGAGAACAAGCTGCTGTTCGTGCCCGTCTGGGGGCACTCTCCGAACCACTGGACCCTTCTGGTCCTGCAGCGAGAAGACCTCTCGGAAAGCTTCTCTGTGAAGTACCTGGACAGCCTGTCTGAGAAGCACGAGGAGTGCTCTGTGAACGCTGCCAGGCTTCTGTCTCTGCTTCTGCCGGCAGAGACTCTGCCAGAGAGAAGCTCCTCTGGCACCCAGAAGTCTGACGAGTGCGGCTTCTGGGTTCTGGCCAACATGCTCTGGATCCTGTACCCTCTCTGTCTGGAAGGACCCTGTTCTCATGGCTCTCGCCACAAGCTGGTTCTGGAGATCATGTCTGAGCTGAAGGCCTGGCTCATCCAGCTGTCTGGAGAGCAGGCCAAGCTCTCAAAAGAGCTTCTGGACAAGGAGAAGTCTCTGGACAAGCTTCTGAAGAGCAACCGCCTGCGCTCTGAAAAACTGGCAGCGAAGTCTGCAGAGGCCTCTGCCACAGGCCTGAAGCTCTGGAATCTGGCCAAGCAGCTCCTCACTCTGAACAAGGAGCCTGAGGCCAGTGATTTGTCTGAAGAGGACAAATCTCGCATCGAGCACGTCCGTCTGACAGGCCTGGGCGTCTGTTCCAGATGCCACTGGCAAAGTGGATGTTTGGACTGTGATCCTGCGAAGCTGGAGCGGTATCTGCTGAACAAACTGCGTCTGGAGCTGGGTCTGCCGCCTAAGGCAGCCTGAGTTCTTCTGTTTCACAGATCTCTGGATGCCATTGGATCTGCCGAGGGGTGGAGTTGAAACAGTCTGGAACTGCACTCTGCGAGCTAGTAGTTCAGTGTCGTCTGTGCCGAACTGCACTCTGCTGGCTGGGTTAGGGTCCTCTTTGTTTGAGTCTCTGCTAAATACGTAGCCTCGTCTGTAGAATTTTGGGGATTTCCGAGCCCGAATATTTTAATTGTCACCCCGTTTATTATTGCGACTGGAAAATTATGATCAGTTGTTTGGCCAAATCTGCCCTTGCCTTTAAACTCCTCTTGCGCCCGGAAATTCTGGCCCGGGGAATATTTTAATTGTCACCCGGTTTAATAAAGCCACTCTTACATTATACCCCGAAACCCTATTTCAAGTATTAAGGCCCATGTATTGAGGGTGCTTTGCGGTTTGTATCTTGCTACCATAGTTGAACAGGTTAGCCTTGCTTTGGGCTGGGGTACCCAGTGGCCCAGTGGAGTACCCAGCAACTAAGTAAACCCTAAACCGACACCCGCAAGTCTTGTACCCAGCAGAAGTCGGGTAGATTGTCCTTGGGCAGCATTTGCCAGCGGGCATTGATGTTCGAGGAAGAGTATTCCAGGACTATTCTTGCACACTGAACTCCGGAATTGGCATTGTTTTTTGGCAGCATTGTTGGCGGTATCTCTGGGAGCTCCCCAGCAAAAGCTTCAACAATGGCTGGTTGACCAAAAGAGTGTTGATTTCTTCTCTCCTATACAGGTCCTTGTTCTACACTCGCCGAAAGCTAGCATAGGGATCCACCAAGAAATCTGCCCGAAGTTGAGGAAGACTGCTATTTCAATAGCCTACGCCCACCAGCTTTTTCATTGCTACCTGTAGGTAGAGATATCCCAAAACCATGCTACGCCTGAATTCCAAACCCGAAATCCCCAATCCTTCAACCCTGCAACCGCAACCCTGAAATGCAACAAGCAAGGAATTTTAAACGGGACCAACGACCTTACTGCAGTTGACTTGTAGACGAAAACAGGAGCAGTACCCAATGCCCAACCTTAAGCTCAAACCTGATATAGCAACACAGCAATAAAGATACAACAAGAAGAACTATCGAGCACAAAACAAAATACTTAGACTTGACACAATACAAAACCCCTAAGCTCGTAACCCCTCAGCCCCTCAACCCCTAACGCCTGAACCCCTAACCCCTAAACCCCTAAGCCTCAAAAATCCAGAATCCATAACCCTATATAACACCCCAATACACCCCCAAAGCCACAAAAACCAAGAATCAAGAACATTAGGGGCCGTAATAATTACCTAAACAAGTTTGGGGGCTTCCTTATTATAATCACCGTGTAAATGGCACCAAAACCCTACTTGGAGCATCATGGGACTTAGTATGTCAGGCTATAAGTACCTTAAGTGGGCGTATAAGAACTTATAGTTACCGTCTTTATAACCCCAGTTACTAAGTCCCATGATCCTTCAAGTAGACCTAAAACCTCTCTTATAGAACCCTTCTAGATCCCTTTAAAGGAGCCCTTTAAAGGAACCCCAGGATAAGTATGAGAGAAAGACGACCGACTCGGCAGAACCCCAGGCCGCGGCAGGCCCGGCCCCTCTCGCGGCCGAGAGCCTTCAGGGGAGGTGGGGGGGGGGGGGGTACTGTGATTTAAGGTATATTTATTGGAGTCTCTAGCAGCACGGGCAGGAGGCCTGGGGCGGGTCTGTTTTGTGCTTTGGGGTTTAGGGTTTCTCTTTTAGGGTATTTATGGGGTTTTGGGGGAGGCGGTGGAAAATTGGGGGGGGGGGGGGGGGGGGGCTATCTGTCCTGTGCTTTAGGGTTTATAGGGGTTTCTGAGCTACAGGGTATAGGGTTTGGAAAGGCTGGTATTAGCGTTGAGGGTTTAGGGCTGTTTTGTCGGAGCTGGTGGCAAGGGCTGGTATAAGGGTTTAGGGTAGTGAGGTGGACAGGTGGGCTGCCTGCAGTAAGGGCTTTTGATAGGGGTTTGTAAAGGGGGTTAAATAGCTTTATGCTATTTCTACGCGACTTGTAAGGTTGTTGATAATGGCTGTTTGGGGAGTTCCAAGGGGAGGTGAAGGCCTTCGGATTTAATTTCGGGGTCATTTACCCTAAACCCTAAACCCTAAAGGGTCTGGGATAGGGTTTTGTTGATTTTACGAGCGTACCAGTCGTGCGGGACCCAGAGACTCCAATACTCCTGAATTAGGGAATATACCTTAAATCCATATTAAGGATCCTACTATAATTTAAGGTATATTCCTTAATTAAGGGATGTTGGAGTCTCTGGGGACTATTGTGAGAGTGTACCGTACGGGGTCTTTTTATAAGGCTTGTCATCGGGCTCGTTTGGGGTGCGTGAGGCGTGTATAGACTTCTTGTAGCAATTTAGTTCTTTGGGCTTGGGCAATTTGTAGATGAAGCTCCAGATTGAAGCGCTCGTTCGCTCTTTATCCGGCTGCTTGCTATGCAGATTAGGAGCATTCCTCAAGTAAGCGGTATTTAGTTTCGTCGGGTTGCCACGTCCGCCTGTGATTTTTCAGATTTGCGATAGAAAGCCCAGTTACCTGTAGAATGGTGTACTCGAGCATGACACTGCAACCGTTGAAGAGCGGCTTCTATTAGGCCTTTCTCTATAAGGCTTTTCAAAAACTTGTACTGGTTTCGTTACCGGTTCAATATGGGAAGTGATGCTGAGACGAGGCTTGTGGGCCGCGATGTGGATGTTCGCCGGGCCTTCCGCGAGGCGCAAGGGGTTCAACGCGTGGGGTTTAGTTTTCACTGCTTTGCGGTGGCTCAGGCTGAGGACTCGGGGGGGCATAGATACGGTTGATGATATAAGTCCTGCATTACCCCATAATAAGGAATATACCATAGTTTCCATAGTTTAGGGTCCTTAAGGGAATGCAGGATTTATATCACCAACAGTACTTACCTGGTATATGCAGTGTCAGCCGTGTTTTCACTTGCCACATGGAGGTAATGCTGAGGTGCTATAACGTTGATTATCCTTCAAAAGGCATCCTTTGCAGCAACATGCCGTAAAAGCCTCCATGTGATACCACTACTTGGTCGCTAGGACGGGGGGGAGCTTTCAAGACGTTTCCAAGTGCAGAGTGCAGCAGGGGCTCGAAGATCTTGCAGACGTTTACCGAGAGACTCTTTAGTCCTAAGCACGTTCATTAAGAATTTAACCTCATAGGGTGTAGGGTTCAGGGCAACATGCCCAACTAACAGAGGGGGCAAGTTGATGCTTATTACGACTTCATAGGAATCTTTTTCATTCAAGGGCTGCGGAGTCTCTAAATGTTTGCCGTGTATTGCTCGGGGCTACAGGTTCATGCGTTGATTCAGGTGCTTTGCGAACTAATCTAGAAGCCTGAACAAGTAGTAATACTTGTACTCTGCCTTGGGGTTCCGGATAAGTAGACCAAAGCACACCCCAAAGAAGCTTGTTCTGACCAATATAAGGCCCTTAGTCTGCAGAAGAGCTGCAGGCTATTTTTGTTTGGAGGCATGCAAAACTGTACTACACTGTACTCTAGAATATCATGACTTCCTATATTACATGATAGGCAAGCACAAGCCCTGCTGAGACCACCCGGCAAGATTTAGGGCCTAGACCGAAGACCCCGCTATGAATGAGATGCTTTTTGCATCTCCTCAGCATACCTTAGGCGGGCTCTGATAATTTCATGTGACATACGAAACTCCGGTCGTGGACCAAGTCAAGTCCTAAACCCCCCTTAAGCTGCCCTACTTAATGGATCATGGGACTTAGTAACTGGGGTTATAAATAAGGTAACTATACTTATAAGCATTCATAAGCCCACTTAAGGTACTTATAACCTGACTTACTAAGTCCCATGATCCTCCAAGTACCACCGGCTTGCGCTTCAACGTGAAGATAAAAACGCTGGGAGCCGTTAGGGGTTCATGGTTTTGCGCGCGACTGCTACTGTCATAGGAACCCTTAGAGGGGTAGGGGGACGGGGGGTAGGGGGCCTCAATTCCCATAACAAGGACCTAAGGCTTATTTAGTCCCCTACCCCCCTCCCCCGACCCCCTATGATACTGCATACAATCTTCTTCTAAAGCTCAGCAGCTTAAGAATTAGCCCAACCTTTCCGCGATAGATTCATTGGTTTTGGTCCTACTCGGTCTAGTTCAGCACTAGACCTAGATATGTAAATCCTTCTATGTACACGCTTGAGTTTCCTGGTGATGCGGCAACTAGGTCTCCCTGACTCCTTCGTACCGGATCTTTAATAGATGGTTCCCTATACGCCCCTTAGACCCAACAAGCTTCCCCCAAACCGCCCTCTAATGCCCATCATGAGAACCCTTACAGAAACTTGAAACGGCCTGTAGGGAAACTCCCAAACCCCAAGCCCCCAGCAGGGAGTTCACTGCTGGGGCCGGCAAGATTCATGGGCGCATCAAATTTACACATGGGAGTTCGAGCAAGCCATTCATGGAGAGATGCATCGCCATCACTCTCAGTGTCTGGAACTGGGCCCGGTCTGGCGATCGAGACACAACAGGGCGAACTGTGTGCCCAAAGTAATACCCTGGCTGGCTTGAGTTGGAATTCCTGGAGCTCAGGAAGCCTTATCGGCGTTGCATTGATTGCAGGTCTAGGCTCTTTTCCGCCGGCTGATCAGGACTACAGTGCCTACAGACTCCAAGGAATGTAACGTCCTGATGATACTGAGCGCGTCGCGAGCTCACACGAGGCACCGAATGTGACCGCATGACGGCTGAGAACCCATGACTGCAAGGCCGTTGGCATGATGGTTGTCAGAGATGAGAATTTGATGCTTTGAAGAGTCCCGCTCCGCATAGAAGTTGCACGTTAGCTGGTTGGCTTGAGTAGCTTAGTAGCCGTAGCATGGCTAAGCCTAAAATGCTTCTGTCTATTGTGTTCATTTTTTTAACCATGAGTGCACTATGGAGTCCGATGCATGCTAGTTTGAAACAGTTCCAGGTAGTGTCCCTATAGCCAGTAGTGGCGGTGGTGGTGGGGAGCTGGAATCTGGGTATGTGATGGTTTATGGTTGTAAGTTGGTTCGTTGATCCTGCTGTACTACTATACACTTTGGGAGGAACCCCAAACCGCAAGAACCCCCTGCAAGGAGCCCCTAAACCCAAAGCCCCGAAACCCGTCAAAGCCCCAACTTAGCAGCTGAGTGGCTAACTTTAACCTTTTCAGGTTGAAAAATATCCTACCATAATTGACAAGGTTATATAATTTTTTTGGCGGGCTAGTATACACAGCTGAACCCGAAACCCAGAATCGGAACCCTTTTTGGGAGGCTAAGGTACTCAGCTAGAGCCCCTAAACCCCAGTCTAAACTAAACCCTAAAACCCCTTGAAAGCAGCCCTAAACCCTAAACCCTAAATCCTAAGCCCCCTAAGCCTAAGCCAAGAAGCTCCCTTCCTTCAGAGGCCCAATGCCTCGGCAGGGCCATCATGGCGCTCCCATTGCTGGGTCTCCCCGAGGCCTTGCCGGGGCCTTCTTTAGGGTTTAGGGGTTAGGGGTTTAGGGGTTTAGGGTTTAGGGTTTAGGGTTTAGGGGTTTAGGGTTTAGGGTTTAGGGGTTTAGGGTTTTAGGGGTTTAGGGTTTAGGGTTTAGGGACCCTAAAGGTCCCTGAAATGGGCTCCGTAGAGGAGGGTTTAGGCTATTCTACTAGCCTCCCCACTAGTACTCTCAAACAGCCACGTAAAGGGTCACTGAAAGGGCACCTTAAAGGCTGTCCAGGGGATCTATGTGAGGTTTAGGCTCGGTTCCCTTGTAAAAAATAGTAGGAAAACGGTAGGCATCAGGAACATTTAGTTCTTATAGCTGGTATACTTGTATTGTAGGTGCTCTGGTTCTACTAGTTACTATAGTTAGTTGCTTTAGGAATTACAGCTCTGATAGTTACTATGGTTGTTATCGCTCGTATATCTTATAGTTGTTATCGTGTTTCTCAGCATTTTCGACATGATAGTCACTGTAACCAATATAGCTCTTATAGTTATTACCGTTCTTGTAGATCTTACAGGTGAAATAGTGATTCTAGGCTTCTGGTCGTTATAAGCATAAACTGTAGTCATTATAGTTGTTATTGTCAGCGGATGCAGCTGAGGGATGTAGGGTTCTGGCTTCAGGTGTCTAGGGTTTAGGAGGTTGTTGCCGGGGAGTGTGGTTTAGGGTGTCAAAGAGTAATTAGGCATGTTTTTTTTGCCAAGTTTAGGATTTTGGCTTCAAGCTGTGAGGCCCTTGGTCCAGCTTCGGGGTTGCTGCTAGTCCACACTCAAAGCAAGTTTGGAAAAAACGGGCCATCACGCCGCACACGCTCCCTCGTCACCGCTCTTCTGGGCTCCGACACTGTGGTCAGGCCCTACCTGGAGGATCATGGGACTTAGTAAGTCAGGTTATATGTACCTTAAGTGGGCTTATAAGTGGTTATAAGTATGGTCCCCTTAGTTGTAACCCCAGTTACTAAGTCCCATGATCCTTTAAGTAAGCCTACAATGCTTTGCGGAAGAATGAAGGGTTGCATTGGTTTCAGACGCCCCTCCCGAAGAGGACGGCCGGGCAACAGCTGCCTCTGATCATCCAGACAAACAAAGCATCATCGGAGGAGAGCGGATCCCGCCCTCTCTGGCGTTGTGACCCTAAACCCTAAAACCTAAACCCTAAACGCTAAACCTTAAACCGTTGCATGAGAGTAGTGCCTGAGTGTTAATGTTTACCCCGACTAATGCGTTGGGAGGAGCCAATGTGCTTTTGGTGGTACTGGGATCCTCGCTGTGGTTCGTCCGAGTGTGAGTGCTGAAACCGTTGCATGCACATGTTCTGGTGTTGTACTTTTGGTCAGGAAGATTCTGGATTCCGCCTACTTTGTTGCGGATGGGTTGCTTTCACGGTTCTTCCGTAATCCCTACTGATATGAGTACTGGTTGTGTGTACTGATGGAATTGTTCACATGGCTACCTGTGTTGCTTTAAGTGTTGTTTGATCTTCAATGAGCTTGTGGCATGTTTTGTGTTGAAGGACTTTGTCTTGAAGGCTGCTTTGGGAAACTATTCTGCGGTCGATGTGGGCCTGGGTCATTACTTTGGCTGCTGACTCCCGCTTGGGGTCTTAACTTCTTGTTGGTGAGGTTTTCGGAGCAGGCTTTTTTTTTCTGGAGGCGTGTCTTCCCGGAGCTCTAGACTTTGACCCTGGCTTTGACATTGTGGGTTCCTCTTTCCCGGTTCCTCTTCAGCGAAGGCAAGGAAAAAGCGCTAGCCTCCGACACGCTGCGTTATCAGCATAAACACCAAGTAACTAACGAAGCTTCCCTCATCTCACCCTCCTGCGCAGGGCCTCAATGCCGCGAGGTCGATGCACTCGGAAGCGTCTCAGAGTGAAGGCACGCATTTAGGGTTAGGGTTTTAACGAGAAGGCCCTGCTGTTGCGGAGTTTTCGCTGGCAGACAGTCCAAGCCCATGCTGAAAAGGGCGAGAAGGATGCACTTCTCCCTCATACGACAATATGATCCAGCCCAGAACCCACAGATAAGCTGGAACGCCCAACAAGCCACAGTTGTCCATCGCTCCCGTTCCTACCATGACCTGGCGTTCTGTTTGTAGTCATTCATAACGGCGTCGGCATCCTACAACGCCTCCCTTGGGCACGTATGAACACAGCCTTTGGATCACACGAGCATCATTTAAAGAACGCAAACCGGACAAACCAAAGGGGCTGGGGTTTAGCCAGTCAGTGCTCAGGGTTTGGAGAGAAGGTCTTGGTGGGGCTGGTTAATCCATCGAATGAGTTCGGCTTTTCTGGCGCCTTTGCAACCAGCGTAGGATGCTAGGATGGGTTGCAGCTTGATGCAGCGTGCATAGAGATGCTTATGCTTCGTTCGGGCACGGGCACGTGAATGTAGCTTATCGCAATTCTCCGGCATCAGCGATTCGGCAAACGGCTTTTTCATTCAAGGTTTCGAGTTGAGCCTTGGGTGGGTTCTGTCGTGGCGTGAAGATGCTGCGGCATTCCGGAAAAGAGCTTGATATAGGGGTCGGAAGAAATAACGAACGATACTGTGTCCTGATGGTCGCTGTATTTTGGTACTACAATAAGACCCAAAGCGCGATTCTAATTTTCAAGGCTCCCATATTGCGAGTAGTGCAGTGGACGTCGGGTCTTTGCACCTTCATCGACAGACCCTGAATGTTCGGCTTAGGGTATCGCCTACAAGCCTGAAGCCATAAACCCTAAACCCTAATCCCAAAACCCTGCAGGAGGGTAAAACAATTCAACACCCTACACCTCAAACCGTACTCAGGGAAAAAATCGTACTCAGGAATGCAAGAGGCAGAAACAAATCGACTTCCCAACGGAGGCGAAGTGGACACGGTGGGTGACCCGAACGGTCCTCGTGGTCTGGCATGGAAACAGCAGAAGGCAAGTGCTTGATAGGGTGAGCAGGATTTGGAACTTCGGGTGTAAGGCTGCTATACGAGTTGCTTGACAATTTGGGAGCAGTCTTATTTATGAAAGGGTTCAAAGTGAAAGCTTATGGTTTTGCGTGAATTTCCCCAAGGATCCATGTATAGTACCTTTGCTGACGTCACTCTATAGGCACCGCCATCACCTACCTGTTTTCGGCTGTCAACTTTCACTTTCGGGTTTGCCCTTCCTGGGCGGTCCTATGAGAGCCTTCGGGCTACCCAGTTCATCATCATACGGTTGGATATTGTGTTTTGGGGTTGTTCCAACTTCGAACCAACCAACTGTGACCTTGCTTTAGAAATCCATACTGCAAGGTTTCGATTCCGACGCTTGGGCTCAAGCCCAGGTCTCTTCTTCAGCTAAAGGTTACAGCTGCAAGTTTCCAGTTCTACTCTCTCGAAACGGTGGCAAGATGCTGCGCATCTTCATGCTCTCAGGAGAGATGGTGGTAGGCATTCCTGCGGAGGAGCTGGAGGAGATTAGCAACATAAGAGGCTTGAAGCGCCGATTGAACCAGTCGCACGGCGTAGTCCCACGGTTCAGACAGAAGTTCCTTCTGGACGGCAAGAGTATGGAGGAGACGGACATGCTAAGTTCAGCCATGGATCTGTATCTAGTGGTTTTGCCGTTCGCTGACGTGTCCCAAAGGCAAGTGGATGAACTAGTAGCTGCTGCTGATCGGGGCTCCGTTTCCGAGGTGGAGTCACTGCTGCTGCTTCCTCAAGATCCAGACATGTTTGGCATGGACGGCTGCACGGCTTTGATGAATGCATCTGCCGAAGGTCATTTCGAGATCGTCCAATTGCTGCTAGAGGCCGGTGCAGATAAGGATGTTGCGGACAACGAGGGCTGCACAGCTTTGATGAGTGCTTCTGAAAACGGTCATGTGGAGATCGTGCGCTTGCTACTGCAGGCCGGTGCCGACACAGATGCTGCAAACAACGAAGGGGACAGTGCTTTGTTTTGGGCTTCCGGTGAAGGTCATGTCGAGATTGCGCGCTTGCTGCTGGAGGCCGGTGCCCATAAGAATGTGGCAGACAACGAAGGGCAGACAGCTTTGTTTTGGGCTTCCAGCGAAGGTCATGTCGAGATCGTCCGCTTGCTGTTGGAAGCTGGCGCCGTCACGGATGCGGCAGACAATGAGGGGAACACAGCTTTGTGTTGGGCTTGCGAAAAGGGTCATGTGGAGATTGTCCGCTTCCTGCTGGAGGCCGGTGTGGCCACGGATGCGGCAGACAAGAAAGGTTACACGGCTTTGATTTGGGCTTCCGGCGAAGGCCACGTCGAAATTGTCCGCATGCTGCTGGATTCCGGAGCCAATACAGATGTTGCAGACAAAGAGGGGCAGACAGCTTTGCTGTGGGCTTCCGGTGAAGGTCATGTCGAGATTGTGCGCTTACTGATGGGTTCCGGTGCTCAGACGGATGTTGCAGACAACGACGGGCAGACAGCTTTGTGCTGGGCCGCCGGCGAAGGTCACTTCGAGATCGTCCTCTTGCTATTGGAAGCCCGAGCCGACGCGAATGCAGCAGACAACGACGGGCAGACATCTTTGTTTTGGGCTTCCGGTGCAGGGCATGTCGAGATCGTCCACTTGCTGCTGGAGGCCGGTGCCCATAAGGATGCGGCAAACAACGATGGGGAAACAGCTCTGGTTTGGGCTTGCGTTAGAGGCCATGTTGAAGTCGTCCGCTTGCTGATAGAGGCCGGTGTCGACATGCATGTGGCAGATAACAAGGGGCGCACTACTTTGATGAGGGCATGTGAAAAAGGTTACGTGGAGATCGTGCATTTGCTGCTGCAGGCCGGTGCCGACACTGATGCTGCAGACAACGAGGGGGACAGAGCTTTGTTTTGGGCTTGCGAAGAAGGTCATGTCGAGATTGTCCGCTTGCTGCTGGAGGCGGGCGCCGACACGGACGTGGCAGACAGGAACGGGTACACCGCTTTCTTTTGGGCTTCCGGCGAAGGTCATGACGAGATCGTCCGCTTGCTGTTAACTCAAAGTGACAAGGATCTAAAATGAGCATTGCGAATTCGTCTGCCGGGTTCTTAGGGATGGTGCATACATGGGTCACGCCACGGGTCTGGGGGTTACGGGTTTCAATTTGGGTTTGGTTCAACATGAGAGCCCCCTTAATAATATTGATAGTAACAACAACAACGACAGTTATAATAATATTAATAATAATAATAATTATAATAATAATAATAATAGTAATAATAATAATAATAATATTAATAATATTAATAATATTAATAATATTAATAATATTAATAACAATAATAATAACAAATAATAGCATAATAGAATTAAGATACGTATCTTTAAGTATAAAGAATGTAGAGAAGAAGAACAATAATGATAGCCAGCCTTGGCACATAGTCTTCGTCCATGATACACAGCCATCTCACACGGCCCTGGAAGGGGTTATGTTAGTTGTCTTCGAGGTTTTAGGTTCAGGGTTTTTGCTTAGGGGCACCTTGTGGAAGTAGCAATGGAACCATCATCTAGTGCAACACTTACTTGGGGTGTTTGCTTCCGTTGAGTCTGCAGACAGGAGCTTGCAATCATATACTTGCAGAAGTAGGAGCAAAGGCATAAGAATTCCCTGTCTGGTCCTAATATCCTTATGTCAGCACCTGCTGTCTGCGCGGGTTACAGTTTTGTCTTTTAGGGCTATATTTTGTTCAGGGTTATCTTTAGGGCATATAAGGTTCACGACTACAGGGTTCGTAAGTTCATCCTGGCATCCCCAGCAATCGTGCCTCCCAGCCCGATGCGTGCGTGGGCAGGTGACTCAGGTGACTCCCTTCCTGGGTTCTTGCTAGGGGGTGTACTTTAAGTTACCATAATAAGGATCTATAGTAAATAACATGGTTTCTGTATGATGGCAACTTAAATTAAGTTCCTTAAGAACAACCCGGCTTCTCCCTGCACTAAACCCGAAAGTCCTTAAACCCCAAATGGAATACACAAGGGTGTTGAGGACAAGTCGACCAAAAACAACTGACACATGTACCTTCATGCGCAGACAACCCGAAACATGGAAGCACAAGTCACCCAGAGACTCCAATATCCCTTAATTAAGGAGCATTCCTTAAATTATGGTAGGATCCCTTATATGATTTAAGGTATATTCCTTAATTAAGGGACATTGGAGTCTCTGGGCAAGACTAACATCCTACCGCTTGCTTAACCAGAAAGCTATTGGCAGGCCCTCCACACTGCTGCACAAGCATCAAGACAGCTGCCTGTCTGAGTTGGAACTAGGCACTCCACTGAAATACTGTTTTTGGGGCACATGAGGTTTCTATCAAAGTCAACATGCCTTCCTGCACCGGGAGCAGGGGTGGGGGGGCCGGGGCCCAGAGAATAGATTGAACGGGCATAGGGTTTAGGGTTTAGGGTGTTCTACTATACATCGATATGGACATCTACAACGACCTGGAGAGTCGCCAGGCTGGTGAGGTGTCTTGCGTCTTATTATGGGGTAGGGGCTTCTGTAGGATACTGTGGGTATCGTTATATCCCCAATCATTGAGATACTTTAGGGGGTGAATCGCTATCGGGCGAGCCCACTACCACTACCATGTGCTGAGTAGGGTCGCCGGAGGCTTGTTGGTACGGAGCTGGTGTGGAGCTCACGTATTTTTCGCTCCTACAAGTCAGAGACAAGATCTGTACAACTGCATAACCTTGAGCAGTAAAGACCTCGTGCCTAACCCCGTAGGTCTACTCCGTAAAGGCCTGCGCCTAAACTGTCCGAGTGAGTTACGCGCCACAAACGTGGCTGTCATGACGCTCAATGACGCCAGCTCTGTGAACTCTTCTCATGTCTTACTGAAACGTATTGACACAACAAGCAATTATCACACGCCCGGTGGGACTTACAGCATTACTCCTAGACCCTGAACCGGGCCGCCTCGGTACCCTACGACTTACGTAGAGGCTTCATTGAATTTGTTCGCGGCCTGGAGCTGTAGGTGTCGAGGGGTGTTTCGGGCCTGGAAGACGTTAGGTGCGGGCTTGAATCCTTAATACACTGAAACCCTACAGCTCTCAATTTTGAACCTTTGCACCTTTACGTAAACCCGCATGGGGTTTGGGACTTACACGGATCTTTGGGTCTTTGACTTCCTTCTACTACTCCACCATTGCAGCCTACCGTGCTTAAAGGAACTGGGGTTATAAATAAGGTAACTAGACCTATAACCACTTATAAGCACACTTAAGGTACATATAACCTGACTTACTAAGTCCCAAGTAGTGGGTAAGGGGCCCAGGTACGAACTCAAGAAGAAGCCCAAAGCTACCCAGAGACTCCAATATCCCTTAATTAAGGAATATACCTTAAATCATATAAGGGATCCTACTATAATTTAAGGAATGCTCCTTAATTAAGGGATATTGGAGTCTCATAGACCCTAAACCCTGTAGATCCCTTAAAGGAACCCTATAGATCCCTTTAAGGAACCCTAAGGTGGATATTGGAGTCTCTGGGTACCCTTTTTCTACGCTAGTGCAAAGTTCTCAGGTTAGCCCTGGAGCGCTTCCTGGGCGACCCAATGTGGGTGCAGAAGGTGAGGGCTTAGGGTGTAGGGTATAAGCGGTGTAGGGTTTACGGTGTTGGGTTACGGCTTAGGGTGTAGGGCTTAGGGTCTATATGTTAGGGTTTAGGGTTTAGGGTGTGACAGTGTTACAGGGTCGTGGATTCCTTTACTTCCAAGTGCTGCAGAAGGGGCCGATTGCACACAGGTCACAGGGTCCCCTCCCGGGGCTCCGATACTTAAGGGCCCTTAATTGGTTCAACTTTTTCTAGGATTTCAGCAGAACTCTGAGTGGTTTTAAGCCGGGCCTCCATGGGAGTTCGGGGCTGCCCTAAACCCCTAAAGCCCTAAACCCCGAGACCCTAAACCCTAAACCCCTATAGACCCTAAACCCTAAACCCCTCTATGTGGAGCCTTGCCTGCCTTGTGCGAGTGTGAGCGTCGAAACCCCTTCAAGCTGGGCACCATTTAGCCAGGACTTCGACTGCTTCAAGCTTTTTCAGCGATCCAGGACATCATGTGGTGTCCAGACGCAGCATGGAGTCCAGACGCAGCATGGGCGCTGCAAACCGCAGCAGTAGACGCCGAGGACGCTCCGTGCCACGAACGAAGGGGGACAGGAGGATGCTGCGTTCATCCGCTTGGATCAACGCCCGAGTCCAAGCCGCATGCCAAGATGCGGCACGGGCTCCTGCTCAGGAACAGGCGGCTGCAGCTCCTACCCCACACGGCATGCCGTGGTGCCTCGACACCGCACCTAGTAGCCTGTTGAAACAGCGGGACCCGCAGGGCACAGCATTCTCTTCCTGACCATGGGACCACTCTGATAATTTGTTGGTTGGGTTGAACTTGAACTTGGGAGACAGGGTGTGTGTGTGTGTGTGTGTGCTTTGCGGGGCCAACGTAGTGATACGAGGGACTATGTGGAGCCTTGCCTGCGTTGTGCGAGAGTGAGCGTCGAAACCCCTAGACTTTAGACCCTCAACCCTGAACCCCAAGACCCTAAACCCTGAACCCCTAGACCCTAAACCCTGAACCCCTAGACCCTAAACCCTGAACCCCTAGACCCTAGTCCTTGCTAGGTAGGAGGGAAAAAAAACCCTAAAGCTACGAAGGCTTGCTGCGGGGGTTTTGAGGCCTCGATGGGTTGAAGGAGTCCTTTGAGGGTCTTTCAAGCATTCTATTATTATAAAAGCCACAAAGGCTTCTAAAGCAGCTCCTCGAAGGGTTCTAAAGGTGTCGGGCTTTGGGATTTAGGGGCTTTTTGGGGGGGCGAATGTAGGGTTTGGAGTTTGAACTAGGTTTCGCGTCTCTTAGTTTCGTAGGTTTCGGGGTGTCCAGTCTGAGGTCTTAGTCTTGCTGGGCTGAGGGTGTAGTATGGGAGCCTTAATAAGTAGTTCTTCATAAGTAGTTGTATCCCCTGTAAAGACCCTGTTGAAATCATGAAGTCCCCAATATACTTGTTCATCACTCAACTTTCGCTGTTTGGCTTCTTATCGGTCCTCAGGATCGGAGAAGCGTTGCTGTTTGTTTGACTGAGCTTGACCAGCAGCTCATGTTCCGAAGCAGTCCCTAGTTGGCACGTAGAGCTTTCTGGTGGCATGCTCTTGTCGATGATCCGACGAGGGGACAAACTTAACAATGACCTCAGAGGAGCAGGCTTGAGAGTTTTCTTGATGTAGGTCCTAACTTCCTAATCTATAGAGTTGAATTCTATGAAATGGCTCTGCTGACTTCTGCAGTGCTCTGTATTGAAAGTATGGGGAAAAATCCGAGGCGCTGCTTGGTGTGTACCCGAGGAAGCTTTGGATGCTGTTAAGGCCGTAGCCATCTTACCGTTTTACGGTATTTGGTTTAGGGAGTTTGGCAGGATGACTCTAAACCCCTAAACCATTGGAGCCCGGCTTCATGAAACCCCGACCGGACTTGGACCCACGTGGACACAAGTAAACTGATGACTATGAACCGTCAGCTACAGATGAACATGGTTCCACCTGCATGCATGTCGCGTGCCTGCATGTATAATGTAGGTATGCATGTGCAACTATGGATATTCTTGCTGGCTCACCTGGATGTTACATGTTTTATTCTTCCTGATCTGTTCGTTTCGCTATTCAAGTGGTTCCGCCTCTTAAGAGTACAAACCTGGATGTGCACAAGTATCGGTATACTCCTTCATGCTCTTGGGCCAAATCGCCATGCTCCTGACAAAGGCCCTCCCACTGGTACCTCAAGTCTGAAACTCCAAAAGAGCCGAAACCCTAACTCGTGCGTCCTTATCCGGGTGGTTGGCGAAATTATGGTCCCTTTTTGAGTACCCTAAATTTTAGATGCTGTACGCTATTAAGGACCCACAAAGGGACCACAATTTTGACAACCACCCATCTGTCAACCCGGCATCTCCTCCATCCCAGCTCCAAACAGATGGTATACCCCGACGTCGTCCCAAAGAACACCGTTAGCCTGCGCCTTTGCAGCAAGAGCAGTCCTTCATGGTATCTCAGTCTCCTTAGGAACTACTTTTAATTTTCGTTCATATACAACCCAAGAGAATATTGAAAATATGTTGTTATTGTGGTTCCAAGGGGGGTATAGGTATAGTGGGTAACCTTTAACCTTGTGGGGCGTATCTAATCCTGTCTCAATTGGGAAAGGTTAACCTTATCTGGGCTGGCGCCTCATACCTTCCAAAATAACTAGTTACATATACCTTAAATCATATTCGGGATCCTATATAAGTTAAGGTATCCTCCTCAATTAAGGGATTTTGGAAAGTTTGGGGAATTCAGCCCCTAAGAGTCCATTCAATTTAAGCTTCAGACAGAGGTTTCTTGCCCGCAGAGCCTTCAACAGCAAGCCTTCGGACGGGTGTAATGTACCCAGTATTAGGGACCTTATAGGGATCTAGACGAGGGGTCGATGGTATAGGGGCCTTAACAATTACTTATACTAGTTTGAGGGTTCCGTCAGAGACTCCAATATCCCCTCATCAAGAATATACCGTAAATCATACGGCTCCTACTATAATTTCAGGCATATTCCTTAATTAAGGGATGTTGGAGTCGTTGGCGCTTGAGTTGCCTATATCATCCCTTAGGGCTCCTTATGCTCCTTATGTTAATATACCATACCCCAAAACCCTCTTCTAATCATGCAGGCCCCTGTATCACAAGTATCACAAGCTCTAAACAGGGACCAAGTGCGGACGGTTTAGGGTTTCGATGTTTGTTGTTTGGACCTTGGAGCATGGCTTCTAGTTCATCTGGCCTCATGGCGACTTCCCCATCCCGAAGACCCAGGACTGAATTCCGGATTTTGGCTGGATCTGTCGACTTATGCGAGGAGGGCTAGCGGGGGGTTTTGTTTTAACTAAGCCGGCTAACTGTGTAGATATGTAGATAAACGGGGTTTAATGCATAGTTACATTTGCGTCCATACATACATACATACAGACATTCGCCTCCATACATACATACAGACATACGAACAGAAACGCAAACAGACAGACAGACAGCCAGACAGACAGACAGAGAGACAGAGAGACAGAGCCAGACAAGCAGACAGACAGAGAGACAGAGCCGGACAGACAGACAGACAGACAGACATGTTTGTATATGCATGGATCGTATTGCTTTGCAGATGACTTTCAAGTCTGACCAGGTGACGTTAACATTGGCCCTACAAATTCATAGCCCGAGAGAAACGACTTCAGCCCTTGTGTGTCGGTCTACTCAGGTTTTCGGGTTTTGGGTTAAGGGTTAGTGTCAGCTAGGGTTACTTAGGTGCCGGGTGAAAGTATTCTTCGAGGTATCCTGCCTCTACATGGGTGGTTGTCAAGATTATGGTCCCTCTTTGGGTACCCTAAATATAAGGTGCCCTGTTGTAATAAGGATCCAAAAAGGGACCCTAATATTGACAACCACCCACATGCGTACATGATTGTTAACTCCCTTGCCGCAAGATTACCGACTGGGTTAGCTGTGGTTCCAGGGAATCTTGAAAGCTAATTTGCTGTGACGTCTGCGGAAATCCGCGCAGCAGCGACCGACATTGTGTTCACGGATCTTTACCTTGTGTATAGGTTGAAGGATATGTGGGTTTACAGCGGGTCACATAATTGTCTTTATTCAAAGGAATGCCATGGAACCCGGACGCCGTTTTAAGCCCTAATCTCTAAGCCGGTTCTTAAAAGACAGCGATTCCAAAATGCGGGCAAGAAGTCCTTGCTAGAAAAGAGGCGATTCTAAACCCCGCCAACCCCTCAAAGAGCCAAATACCCCTTAACTCCCCTTAACTAAGGATTATAGCTTAAAGCATGATATGAAGTCCCTGATAATCTAAGGTACATGGCTTACTTATAAGGGGTAGTGGTCTCCCTGGGCCCAGAATCTGCACCAATCTAAACCCTAAACCCTAAACCCAGAGACTCCAATATCCCTTAATTAAGGAATATACCTTAAATTATAGTAGGATCCTTAATATGATTTAAGGAATATATTCCCTAATTAAGGGGTATTGGAGTCTCTGCGAAGCACGGAGCCGACCCAGGCTTCCGGTCGACACCTCGCCGCTTCTCTTGGGGTTGCCTCTGTTGGAAGAGGCCCCGGGCCGCCTTTTTCGTATTGGACCCCCTTAAAGGGTTTCTGGTTTAGGGTCGTAGACTGGCTAGACTTGAGTCCAGTGGCAAAAAGGGTGGCCTTCTTCGTACTGGACCACAATAAGGGTTTAGGGTATAGGGTGGCCTTTTTCGGACTTCGGCTTTTGAGGGCTCTCAGGAATTCAGAGCTTGGTGCATTGCAATCCCTGCTCGGGGGGTTTTATTCCACGTGCCTCAAGGGACACGGCTTTATCCCTGCTCAAAAAGGGCTCTCGGGTTTTGGGTTTTGGGCGGTTCTTGTTCTTCTTTTCTCACTCTACTCTCAGAGAATCTGCAGCCTAAGCTTCGGTCCGTTGTTATCCGTAGCTCTTGCCTTATATAAGAGAGGGGAGAGTGTTGCATAGGCGCTGGCTGGCACCTAGTCCGGGCTCAAAAGGGCTTCAGCGTGTTGCGTTTTAGCGTGTAGGGCGTTGGGGTTGTTTGGTTTTTTTGTTTAAGGGGGCAGGGTGGTCAAGGGTTGCTTAACAGGATAATCGCGGTGCTGTTCGGGTCGGGGCCATAACTCAAGGGTTCTCTGCACCCGAAACCCTAAACCTAAGGGTTCCTGTCTTTCGGGGTAGCGCTTGGGACCTTAGTGCTACGACTTCGGGAATGTCGGACGGATCTTTGGCTTCTCCCACCGTTTGAGGGGACATGCTGGGCTGGGGCTTGCGAGGTTTAAAAATGTCGAAGCCCTACTCTTTAACCCTAGGGTTTCGGGTTGAAGTAGGGGGATGATAACCCCGAATTAGACCCTAAACCCTAAACTCTCAACACCATGGAATATTCAGACTGAGCCTCCGATTTGCAATCGCGCGGCAGCGTGTGACAGGGCCTGACCAGGTTTCTCTATACATACATAGGGTTTGGGATTTGGCGCGTGAAGGTTGGGTACTGCCCCCACTGTGCAACAGTTAGGTAATTTTCATACCGTATTTATGGATAGACCTTAATATGACCCCTATATAAGATAGACTGTTACAGGGTGGGGGAAGTACCTTTTCAAGGCTTCGGGTTCTAGCCGGCGGGATTCGGCCGTGGCCCGGGTTCCTGCGACATCGACATGCTGGTCTCCTCCCCCCAGACCACCTGGAGGATCCAAAAAGTAGACCCCTTAATGCGGGTTCAGTACCCTTAGTTTTGTTTAGGGCCCCAAATTAGGGGATCTACTTTCGAGATCCTCCCGGGGGTCTCCTCCCAGGGGTTTGAGCTCGTCCTGGAGAACTTCAACGAGTCAGAACCGCCATGGTTAACCTTCCGGAGCCGAAACTCAGAAACTCCAATATCCCATAATTAAGGAATATGAATATACCTTAAATTATAGTAGGATCCTTAATATGATTTAAGGAATCTAGTCCCTAATTAAGGAATATTGGAGACTCTGGGAACTCTCAACCCTCCTACACCCCAAACCCCTAAGCCCTCAACGTGAAACCCGCGGTCTTCGGCGGCCTTGGAGGAGCCTCCGAGCAGCGAAATCCCAGACCACCTGGAGGATCCCAAAAGTAGACTAGCCTTTGATTTTGGGGGAGCTAAGGAGCAAGGGATGATGATAATCCCTATTGAATAAGGAGCTAAAGAGCCCAGGGAACCTCAAAACCACTGGTTAGTAGATCCTTAGTAGGATAGGGCCCCAAATTGGGGGATCTACTTTCTAGATCCTCCCCCGGGGGGTCTGGGTATGGAGGAACAAGAACCACCAGCAGCAGCAACAACAGCAATGTAATCACTGCACGGAACATCAAGGCCATATTATAACATAAACAGTCACAGCACTACTTCAAGGAAGCTGGAAAGCTGACACTGCACCGGAAAGACCCAAGATCTCAACTCTCCCCCACCCCTTCGTGCACACCAACAAAGAGGAACGACCACTGACCTCAGGTTCTGGCACTGGTGGTGGGCACCTCGCTCGACCCGCCGCTGTGCTTGGAGTTCTTAAGATTTTCCTGACCGACTGGGGTTTGCAGGGTGTAGGCCTTTGGGTTTAGGGTAGGGCAGTGTTCAGGGGCTTAGGTTTCAGGAGCAAGGGCCTTCGGGTTCATGCATCTCGGATTAGGGTTCCTTTGGAGTTTCCCCTTGAACAGCGTGGTGCAGACCTGGGTTGCCCTTTGGGATCATTTTGAATATCCTCTACTATTTTGTAGAGAACCGTAATAGTAAATAATTTGAAAGGGCTTAAAGGACAACTCAGAGGCTATGGGGTTCTGACATGCGAAGTAAAGAGAACATGCTAGTGTTCCTGCGAGGAGACCCTCGTCCCCAGTCACTAGCCCTAAACCTAAACCCCAAACCCTAAAACCTAAGCCCGAAAGCCGCAAACCCTACCTAACCCTACACCTTCAAACCCTGAACCCTAAACGCCCCAAACCCCCCGCTAAAACCCCAAACCCTACTAAACACTGCACCACTTTAAGGTGGCAGAAAGCCTGGGCCTGCTCCTTTGCAGCGGACTTGGCCACGAAGCTGCTGCCACATCTACAGGGGAGCCTCGGCTTACAATATTACCACAACCACAAGAGTAGTCTTATTTGGGGGATATTTAGCTTAAAGATGTCCTGGAGCTTAGCGTCAGAGAGAGCGAGAGAGAGAGAGAGAGTGTGAGTATTGAATGTGGGGGTCTTGGAAGCGATGTGAGTCTGCTCTTGCAGCAGTGCAGTTGTGGTTGACGTTCTGGTAGTGTTGGGTTGTTGATGATTCAGCGCGGTTATCTGAGGTGTTCAAACATTAGGAATTTCAATCTATGTCACGGCAGCTTTATGACGATTATGGGTTCGGGCATTGGGTTCTGCAGTTAAACCGCTCACTCAACTGCGCCGTGGCCCTGCATGCCCTCACTGTTCCAAGCCTGCAGCCGAAATCCCCAGCCTAAGCCTGAGAATGATGAGAGAAAATCCAGCCCCTGAGAAGCCTTCCACGTATAGGCTAAAATCCCAAACACCAAGCCCTCCTCATTTAAGCAACAAGCTCAAACTGAATCAGCAGAGATTCTACATATAATGATTCCCATGCAGTTCTAAGGTATACTCCCGGTACAGAACCGTACACATACCTACGCAAAAGCCCATGAAAGCCCTTGGGCCCTTGGATACATTGAAAGGTATACATTCCTTGATCATGGGGGTTTGCAGGCTCCGGGAACCCTAACCCTCAAACCCTGTTTCGTGAGGCTCCTGGGCCGTGAGACTCTCCCTCGAACGCTGCCCCGTGGCTGCATGTTTAACTTAGGGTTCAGAGTTTATGGGCTTAGGGTTTAGGGTTTAGTGGGACTTTAGCGGATTCTTTGAGTACACCCCAAAGACGAGAACAAAGGGGGTTTGGGATTCTCGAGAAACTAAAGTCACCTGCGGTAGGAGCTCCTCCAAGTTCTGAGCCAAGTTCTAATTCCCCTTCAAGGGAGTTCAACAGAATCCTGAATGCCCCACTACGCTTGGGGGGTCTAGGCTTAGGGTCCCCTCACGAGGGCTCCTCAATCAAGAACCCTCATGGTTGTTCGGTTCTATACGCGGGTATTTAGGGGCCCTTGCAGCAGGGATCCTTGCATTTCAGGTTCCTTGTCCGAAAGGGCCTTATTTTTTCAAGGGTCTCGGGCGGGCGGTAATCTCAAAGGAGCACATGCACTAGACCCTAAGCCCTAAACCCAACCACGCCACCATGATCGCCCGGCATCGCATGGAGCTCTGCGCAGCCAAGCCAAGCGGTATGATGCTCTTAGGCACCAGGAACTCCCCGCACCGCCCGCAGATTCGTTTCTAACCCAGCTGGACGACTGATTGTGCTTTGTGCTTTGCGTTATTTGGATTACTAATCCCAAACCGCTTCTTAAGATGAGCCGTTCGAGAAGTAGATTTTACTCTAGTCCGGCTGCGAACCGGGAGACCTCGTCTGGTTTCTCCGAGTTGCGAGAGCGTGGTATAGAATCCAGAGGAATTGCCAATCTTATTCCGCAGGGTTCCTTAGAATATACCCCATGGTTGCAAAGCACTCTTCTGATTAGTAACCTTGGTGGCTGGATGAACAGCTTTTCACCGGATTTGAGACAAACTTCCCAAGGGAGTTGGGTTGGGAGGCCCTGCTCACCAGTACTTAGGTTCATGGGACTTAGTAACTGGAGTTATAATAAAAGTTACTACACTTATATGAGGGTACTTATAACTGTACTTACTAAGTCCCATGAACCTCCAAGTAGCTTGGCCCCAGACCTAACTTTCAACTCCAGCAACTTGGCGAGCACTCTCCAACAAGGCCCTATACCAAACTTAGTTGTTAAACCTTTTTTGGACCTTTGTGCTGAAGCCCGCCCCTAAACTAAGCCCCATTATAGTACTCCATCTTGTAACCCATACATAAAGCCCTTCAAATACCCTATGTTCATACTGTATACACCACATCATCCCATTTTCGGGAATAGTATACTATGCCAAGAATAAGGACCCCCCCCCCCCCCCCCCCCGCCACACACACAACAATTTTGGTAACTATTTACGCCCCTAACACAGAGCCCTTATAGATCCCTTATAGTGTCCCTTACATAGAATTCTTTAGATAGCCTTGGTCATTACTGTTTGCACCAGCTCATCCCCTAAACCCCAAACCCCTAAACCCCCAAAACCCTAAACCCCCAAACCCAAACCCTTAAACCCCTGAACCCCTAAACCCCCTAAACCCCTAAACACCCCAAACCCCTAAACCCCCCCAAACCCCCTAAACCCTAAACCCCTCATCCCGAGGAGTTTTGATTTGGAAGGCGAGGCGAAAGAAGATCAGGGGCTCATTGGCTCCCGGGCCGCAAGCCGAAGAGGATCCAATATCCCTTGATTAAGGAATATTCCTTAAATTATGGTAGGATCCCTTATATGATTTAAGGTATATGTATTCCTTAGTTACGGGATATTGGAGTCTCTGGGAGAACTGCTGTCCAGACATCCGGGAGGATCCAAGAAGTAGATCCCTTAATGGGGGTTCCTTTTAGTGTTCCTTTAAGGGTCCCTTTAAGGGATCTAAAGGGCTTTAGGGTTTAGGATCTAGGGGAGGATCCAAAAAGTAGATCCTGTAATGGGGGTTCCTATAAAGTACCCTTAGTAGTATAGGGCTCCAAATGAGGGGATCTACTTTCTAGATCCTCCCGGGGGTCTGGGTGATGGCTTTGAGGTTTGGGAGGGTTTAGAGCTGAGGGGGTTTAGGTTTAGGGTTTGGGGTTTAGCGGTTAAGGGTTTGGGGTTTTGGGTTTTAGGGGTTTGGGGTTTAGGAGTTTAGGGTTCAGGATTTAGGGGTTTAGGGGTCTGGGGGTTGGGGATGTATGTTTTAAGTTTTGAGGGATGTGGGGTTTGGGACTTATGTAAAGAGTCTGAGAGGGTTTGGGGTTCGGAATTCATGGTTTAAGCTTGGAAGGATTTGGAGTTTGGGGTTTAGGATTTAGATTGTAAGTTCCGGTGATCTGGGCGGTTAGGTTTTTACAGAGCAGGTTGTATGGTGCGGGTTTTGTGCATGCGGCGATTCTGGCACTGCAACCGTGGAATCTCTCGAGCTCTTCGCCTCGAACCGCATGAGTTCGGCTCGTGCTTAGGGTTCAGGCCAGGGTTTCTTCTTACCTTTGGTTAGTAGGGAATGGAGGAATGTGCACAATTATAGCCACTATTACTATTACTACCATGCTTCCACTCCCTACTAACCAAAGGTAAGTTTTAGGTTCAGGGTTGAGGGGTCTTCTATGTAAATTCGAGTCTGTCGGGTTTCGGAGTTTCTTTAATCATGCTTGTCTTCTTTCCTGCCTCTCCGAATCCTACAGACATAATCTCGAACCTGTAATTTGTCCGATCCAAAAACCCAAGGGCGTAAAACGTGCCAATATAAAGCATATGAGAGGATGATGTCGACCCCCGATTAATGAACCCCTTTTCTTTGACGTCCCTTGTCCTAGACTCCCTGTTACAATCCCGCCAGAGGGGGTGATTAGTAAACCCTTTCTCTTTACAGGCCTTCATGCCAGAATTCGTGTTTTAAATCATCCCTTCGAAGGTACGGGGATTGATTACATTATCTGTAAAGGCGCCAATATGAGGATGCCCACAACAATTCCTTTTAAGGTAGGGGGTGGTGTATTGATCAGGGGTCTACATTTAGCGGTTTTCTGGGGTATTCAGCCTTGGGATTGGTTGTGCACTTTAGGGCTGTGGCTTCGGTGTAGAGTTTAGGGATTAGGCGCGGCATGCCAGAGAATTTGCGCTCGAAATTTTCTCGCATGGGGTCTTTGAGGTGATGGTCTCATTAACGTTGTGAAATTCTTCGAGACTAGATACTTTTGCGAGTGCAATCCATGATTGCGTCCTGCTCCTTTTCTGATCCAACCAAACCCTAAATCCTGGCATGCAAATTTGCACCTAACACACACACACACACACCAGGCCAAAGGGCAACCACTTTGAGGACGGCGCATGAACCAAGGCCTTTGCGGAGTCTACCATATGTACATCGCTGTCCGCCGCCGAGGTATGGACGTTCGCTTCGCCAAGGGCCATCGCTTGTCCGCTACTGGCGAACCAAAGGCAGACAAATCAATCTGTGTTTGTCATGGCTTTGGTTTTGAAGCTTACAGACTGCTACGGCATGGCAATTTGCCGCTTGTCCGGAGGTTCTCTGTAAAAAGTGATTTGGGGTTCAGCTTGCGGACGCAGGGTTCCTGGTGCGGGCAAGCATTGATTGCCTGCGAGGTCTGAGATGTGTGAGTTGAGTAGGGTGGATGAGGAGTAGAAGCAACTCTTTTGTGAGTAGCAGCAGGCTGACGCAGCTAGAGACTATTCCAAGCCTTGTCTAGCTACCCAGAGCCTCCAAAACCCCTTGATTAAGGAATATACCTTAAATTGCAACAGGGATCCTACTATGATTTAAGGTATATTCCTTAATTAAGGGGTTTTGGAGGCTGTGGGTATTCAGGGCCACCTGGGCCATGCCTTTCGACTTAGTTACCATTGCAGTCTCACCGTCACTCTGGTTGTGTGTGGTGTTATTTCTGCATGTGAACCGACCCGCAGCCGCCATGCCTTCAAACAAATCAGAGCCTCCGATCGCAACCCCTCAACAAGAATATAGGGGCCTTAGTATAATTGCCTATACTACTGTATTTTGTGGGTTCCTTATTATAATTATCCTGCAATGGGCCCCAAAGTATTAAGGCTCGTATGCCTCAACCTTAAACCCATGCACCCCTTGAATCCTTGAAGGAACCCTCATAGATCCCTTTAACGGGGACCCTTATAACCCTAGTAGGCCCCTATCTTAAACGCTATGCACACCCCAAAACCCTATTCTAATTATTAAGGCCCCTATATTCTAGAACCCTACAAAAGATTCCTATAGACCCCTTTAAAAGGAACCCTATAACCCTAGTAGGCCCCTACATTAAACCCTAAACTTTCCTAAACCCGACAGGTCTGCTCTGATCTGGCCTGGTGCTTCGGTAGCCGGCAGCGCAGCACAGATGGAGCCTCCGAATGACTTTGAGGGTTTAAGGTTTAAGGTTTTGGGTTTCGTGGGCGCTGGCCGGCACCTCAGTCCGTGCTGAAAAAAGGTTTTGGGTTTAGGATTTTGGGGTTCAGCAGCTCCCGATCGAGCAGTATTATAGTAATGTTGTTTTTACGGCTTTGGTATAACACCCACCCACCCAGAGTATCCCATATCATTAAAAGAAACACACTTAAACTGTGTAATCGGTTCAACAGCTTCTATTCAACAAATTTTGGTTTTCAATATTACTATTTTCAAGTGAGACTAGTAATTGAGGGTTCGGATTATTACTTTGGGGTCGCACTACCGGAACCTGAAACGAAACCCTAAACGGACTTGAACGGAACTTTAACATGAAGCTCCTAAAGGAACCCTAAAAGCAACCCTAAACCGACTAAATGGAAATAATCCTAAGCGGTGACTTAAAAGGAACCCTAAACGCAACCCTAGACGGAAAGAATCCTAAACGGAAAAAGAACCAAGTGGAACCCTAAATTGAACCCTAAACGGAAAGAATCCTAAGCGGAGACTTACAAGCAACCCTAAACCAACCCTTGCCCATTTTGGCCTTGGCCGACGAATGTTGGCCTTGGCTGACGAATTTTGGCTTTGGCCTTGGCCGACGAATTCTGGCTTTGGCCGTGGCCGACGAATTTTGGCCTCGGCCGTGGCCGACGAGCACTTTGGCCTTGGCCGACGAAGCCCCTTCGCCGGCCAAGGCCATGCTTCGTCGGCCAAGCTCAAAAACACAGAAACGGCTTTGGCCGACGAATTCTTGGCCTTGGCCGACGAATTGCTGGCCGTGGCCGACGAAGGTCGTTAGGGTTTAAAGTATAATGGGAAGAGAGGTTTAGGGTTTAAGGTTCAAGATCTTGGGTTGCGAGTTCAGGATTGCGAAGAAGTTTAGGTATTAACGTTTAGGGTTCCGGTGGGCAGGTTCAGACTGCGGGGCTTGGAGACGGGGAGCGCGGGCGAGCGGGCCAGGAGCCCCGGCGAGCCTCAGCGTGCCATAGATGGGCATCAGCGCGCGGATGAGCCAGATGAGCATCAGAGGCGGGCCATCGGCGGTGGCATCAGCATCGGCGGGCGGGTGGGTGAGCATCAGCAGAGGCCGATGAGCACCAGTGGGCGAAGGAGCCCTTCAGACCCTCTTCTGACCCAAGTAGATGTTCTGGGCTCGAAACCCCCAACCTGGGCCACTTCCAGCACTGTTGACCCCCCCCCCAGCTGTTTGCTCAGAGCTGCCGGCTTGAGAAGATGAAGAACCTGAAAAGCAGGAGGTAGGGTTGCCCAGAGACCCCATGGTAGTTTCGTAGTTCCTTTTTGGGAAATCCTTATGGGATTCTAAATATGAATCCCAAAAGCGAACCACCGTGGGGCCAGCCACGTCCAAGTTCTCTCACCTTTTTGTTGCGCCGCTCAAGAGCCTCTCCACGCGCACGTTCAATTCATTCTCTTGATGGCAGCGACATGCAAGATTTCAGCAGAGGCAAGGCGCCCTCAACCCTAAACCCTAAACCATACAACCTCAACCCGAAGCCATAAACCTATGCGTGGCAAAACAGGCGCCGTCTGAGGGTTTCCGACGTGTTGTCAGCGTCGCGGATGGCCCAGCCGCAACAAGGCTCTACATGCGAAATAGTCCCTCATGGTACTATGGTCCTTAAGTTTGTACTATAAGATAGCTCGGTAACCCGACATCGTATTCTCCTTATTCCGGCCTTCATATCGGATGAACCTAAGGACTCTGAGGATTGCACCGGGAAACAGCACGCAACATGTGATGACTGGGGGGTTTCCGAACAATTAGGAGTACCTTATGTTGGTTAGGGTCCCCGATTTTCGGAAACTCCCATGTCCCTTAGTTAAGGAATATACCTTAAATCAGACTAGGGATCCTACTATAATTTAAGGTATATTCCTTAAACGCAACATGTGATGACTTAAGGAACCTTTGCATTTCGGTAGGGTTATAAGTGGGGTAACGATACTTAAAACCCATATTAGGGGACTTATAACTACCCCTGAACCTCCAAGTAAGGAACCTTTGCATTTCGCCGGGAGTGCCAGCTGACCCCCGAGTTTCTGGAGAAGGCCAGGCTCAGGGTTTCGAAGGCTCCGGAGCCTGTGCTACCCTGCAGTGTCTTTGGTTTAGGGTTTAAGGGTTTTAGGGTTTAGGGTTTAAGGGTTTATAGGGCTTAAAGGTTTAAGGGTTTATGGTCTAGGGGTTTAGGGTTTAGGGGTTTAAGGTTTACGGTTTAGGGAAGATGCTCGGAAGAAACCGTGTATGTAAAACCAAGTAAGACTACGTGAAAGTTTGCTTGCCGGGTTTGGGGTTTAGGGCGCCAGGGGAACTGAGGTAGGTAGGGTCTCCGAGGCTTCCTGCGTCTGAAACCACGAGGCCTTCGAATCTGCAAGCCCACAACTCCATGGTAATCATGCGTCTTTCCTCCCTTTCAACCCCTACACTGCATTTGTTGCGGAATACACACCATCGCCGCTCCAAGCGAAGTTCACTGATCTCCAAAGTTTAAACTCCACAACCCGTAAGCCCGATCTGCACATCCCGATGACCATTTGACAAACGGACCAAGCCGTACAAAGACCAGCATGCCACCCAGTCCTCGGCAGATCCCCAAAAATAAACCCGCCAGACTGCTTCTAACGCTTTGCCTCCCACATAGTAGCTTAGACCTCCAAAACACGACACCCTGTAAAGCTCGAATCCCACAATCCGAAGGCCCGAAGGTTTTGCAACTTTTAGATCTTCCCGCAATTCAAAAAGACCCCTCCCAGCCATAAACCCTACATTGTGACATGAATGTCTGCACAGGTTGAACCCGAATCCCCCCTAAGAGGCAGATCGCAAGCCCTCCTGAAAGAAACACCAATAAGTACATATCCCTCATGGAACCCCTCCTACAATCTCCTTAGTCTTTTTGTTCAAATAAAACCCAAGAGGACAAACAAAAATAGAAAGTTGTTGTGGTTCTCAGTGGGGTTTAGATATGCCTCATGGAACCCTTCAAAGCCTCTATCAAACACTGTATGAAGTCCAAAAAGAGATTCTTGCAAGCATTGCCCATGTAAATTCGGTCCCAAACCAAACAGGCCTATAGCACCCTATACAACACCCTGATGAAGCCCTGTTAGCCCTCATCACACCCTGTAGAGACACGTACCAAGACCCAATCAACACCCCCAGCAACCTTCCAACCGAAACCCTAAACCATAAACCCCTAAAACTCAGCAGACTCCGAACCATATGCCTCGCCTGGATTGTCCGAGTGTGAGCGCCGAAACCCCTAAACCTTACACCCCTAAACCCCAATTAGACACCTGACCCCTAAAGTAAAAGCCAGAAAGTTGGAATATGATTACCCTAAAGCCTTTATTGTAAATTATAAGGTATCCTACCCTGAAACGAAATTCCAACTTTCTGGAGTTCCCTGTAAACCCAAAACCTCGAACCACATGCCTCGCCTGCCTGGGCCCGAGTGTGAGCGCCGAAACCCCTAGAGGCTAGGTAGAGATCCCAATACCCCTTAAGCCTTAAGTAAGGAATATACCTCAAATCATAATACTAAGGCTTCTATCATTTAAGCCGCAAATGATACAGGCCTTAGTATTAAGATTTAAGGTATATTCCTTGATGAAAATGAGATATATTCCTGAATTAAGGGGTACTGGGTCCTCTGGGTAGCAGAAACCGCACAGGCGCTCTTGGGTTGGCCTTGCCCCGTCGCTGGTGTCCCGAATGCGGCGGTCACCGAGCACAGGTGCGGTTTGAGCAGGGTTGGGAAAAGTTGCCTAAATTGTACTGTAGCATGGTTATGATAAGGACCCCCCAAACCAATACATATATATATATATAGACACACACATATATATATATATACATATATATATATATATTCATCAGTTGGGGCCCCTATATTAGCCCTAAACCCAAAACTTAAACCGGCCTATGCAGAAGAGGTTCGACAGAGGTCTTCGGATTTTGGCTTCGGGGCTTTGGCATCTGTTGATCTTCTGTTGGTGGAGATCTGGGGGTCGGTTCGGATGCTGAGGGACTTACGGCTTCCCTGGACCCCCAAATAACCTACCGTTTTAGGGTTCCCTACTATGAGTTCCTTATATGAATTCTACAGGAGGAAAGCAATTTGGGGTTAAGGAAGCGACTTAGGGTACATACTTGGGGCAAACGGCGCTTACATAAGTTGTATGGTGCTTTTCAGCTGGGCAATTGCAAGGCTTTTGTATGGACCTTGGGTTTAGGGCTCAGCATTCCGGAGAGGAATCTTGAGCAAGGTGGGGTTTGAGGATTTTAAGACTGCTGAGCTGGGTTTGGACTTAAAGTAAGCTAGGTGGCAATTTGGGAGACTTTTTAGTTTCCCTTACGGTTCCTATAGAGGTACCCATTTATAAATACTTTTCAGAAGCCCAAAACTACAACCCAGTAATTGTTTAATCTGTCGGGCTCAGGGTTCTGTAGAGGGGCTGGGATCGCATAAAGGTTCTCTTTAAAGTAAAAGCCAGAAAGTTGGAATATGATTATCCTAAACCCTTTGTGGCAAATTATAAAGTATCCTGCCCTGAAACCATATTCCAACTTTCTGGAGTTCCCTGTAGCATGAAGGGTGGGAAGTCCGGGTAAGGGTGTTACAGAAGTTCAGAGCTCAGGGGTTCAAGGTTTCCTGTGGGGGTTTCGCTTTTTTGGGCTTAACCATGTGCGGCTAAGGATGTTTAGAGTAGGAGTTTAGGGTTTAGGCAAAAGGGCAAAAAAAAGGGTTTAGGGTTTGAGGTTCAGGTCAAGTCTTCGGAAATCCCTTCAGGGCTCCGGGGTCTGGCACCTCGTCGCTGCCTGCGACTGAGAAGTTAGGAGTTGCGTTGGTTTCTTCTGGCGGTGGGCTGGTGAGATGTGATACCAAATCATGCCTGACTTTTGAATCTGAATGCGAAATTTGTAAATTTAAATCCACCTTCAGGCCCGAGAATTGTGGCACGATGCCCCAATAAGTATTCTTTCGAAAGTCCTCACACCCGGAAGCCTGGCTGAAACCTTCTTATCATCCAGAGGCCCCATAGTAGTTCCTCTTTGGGATTCATATTTAGAATCAAAAGGGAACTACTATGGGGCCTCTGGGCATCCGGAACCTCAGACAAACCGTCGAAGCTGGTACGGCTAGCAACGAAGGCATCGTTTGGGTGCACTGCCGGCTGGAGAAAACGACTGGCAGTGACTTGCCGTTGATAATCGGGGATAGGGTTTAGGGTTTACGGTTTAGAAGATGTCAACAGCTTACCCTATCTTTTAGCGGCTTCGCAAAAGCCCTAACAGGTAGCGCGTGGTTGCGTTTCACGTCTACGAACTAAATTGGACGGTCCTGATTTTGCGCGGGTTCGAAGGTGTTGTTTTGCCGTCCTTCCGAGGTTTGCTACGATTTTGACCGGGTTCTATGGTGCTCTTGGAACGCGCTGTCGCATCGATTTAGCCACAGCATTTAGGAGGCGTCTTTATACCGAGGGCATAGGAGATGCAAGCACAGCGATCGCGGTTTGTGCCTTGTAGATCTCGTGTTGCTCGGCTTTCGCTGTCACAGTGGCGCCTCGTTTCGGTAGTATCGTACCACTGACTAGAAGCTCAAAATAAACCTTAAACCCCAACCCTAAATCAGAATGAACATTAGATACAGCCTAGCACCCCCCAGCTCCCAACGAACCGAGAAGCAAACGCAGTAAATCGGCTCTTGATTTGAGACTTTCCGAAAATTAGGGGTACCTTATTATGGGGTCCTTTTAATAATTATCCCATTGTTTTGGGCACGATATTAGGGTCCCCTATTTTCGGAAACTCCCATTTAGGCTTCAGGGTTTGAGGATTCCCCAGCACAGGGACGAGGTTTTACTTTGAAGCCTTTACAAGGGAGTTTCCGAGAACAGGGGACCCTAATATAGTACCCTGAATAGTAGGATCCTTATTATAAGGATCCCAAAATAAGGTACCCCTAATTTCGGAAACTCCTACAACGATAAGGGATGTTTGCGGCTTCGGGTTCTGCAGAGACTCCAATATCCCGTAGTTAAGGAATATTCCTTAATTAAGGGATCCTACCATAATCTAAGGAATATTTATAGCACCCTTATAGTAACCCTTTACAGGAACCCTAAGGGTAAGGGATGTTTGCGGCTTCGGGTTCTGCAGGAAAGACGAGGATTGCCTCGAGGCCGTCCGCGCGGCACGCAGGCCGGATGTGCCCAGACACTCCAATATATATATATATATATACACATATATACATATATACACCTTAATTAAGGAATATCCCTTAAATTATGGTAGGATCCCTTATATGATGTAAGGTATATTCCTTAGTTCAGGGATATGGGAGTATCTGGGATTTCGTGCAGTGTTCAGGATGGTAAGCATCTTAGTTGCTGAGTGGATACACTTTACACATTTGGGGATAATATTATCCACTATAAAACTCAAAGTGTACACTTTTGGGGGCTTATGAACTCAGCAACAAAGGCATGCAGTCAGCAGTTTAAGAAATCGAGAGTTCGGCTCTGCTTGGGCACACGTTCTTAGCAGAGGGAGTCCCCGGGCGACGAAGTAAGCCCGCTGCAAAAAGGAAGTAGGATTCGCATTTGCTCGAGAATGAAGGTTTAAGCTTGATGGTAGTGGTCATGGATTCGGGTTTATGTTTGGATTTGGCTTTTCTGGGTGGCTGTTTTGGGGGTGCGAGAAGTTTGGATTCGGGCGCCGGGGCCCAGGCTTAAGAAAGCTGTCTTGGGATTTGGGGTGTCAACCTTTACCGTTTCGAACTCTAGACCCTTCAAGCGTAAACCTAACTCTGCAACTCTACGACCTATGAGCCCTAAATCTGGTGCGCAAGTGACCGTCGCCTTGGACAGAGCAAGCCTGAGACCTCAGCAACCCAACTCAATGATCCCAGGTAGCCACTGAACACTGAACCTGAGGCCTCAAACCTTGGTGTTCAGTGTTTATGGGGTTCAGGGAAGCGCCTTCAATATGATGCTTGATTCCAACGTCCGGCCCCAGCCCGTGACTCAAAAAGGGAAGCGCCTTCTGAGAAGCAGCACGCATGTTAAGTATATAAATATATATATATATATATATATATATATATATATATATATTTATATTTATTTATTTACTTATTTAATCAATTATTCATTTAATTATTTATTTATATTTATATTTATATTTATATTTATATTTATATTTATATTATATTTATATATATATATATATATACCCTAATGCAGCAGCCCCAGGAAGAATTTGTGGCGGAAAGCTGCCGGCGCGCTGTATGAGGCCAGCCCGATAGCACCGAGTTCACGCTTTCGTGCTTAGGCTTCGGGGTACCCAGAGACTCCAATATCCACCTTAGGGTTCCTTAAAGGGATCTATAGGGTTCCTTTAAGGGATCTACAGGGTTTAGGGTCTATGAGACTCCACTATCCCGTAATTAAGGAACTATGGTAGGATCCCTTATATGATTTACGGTATATTCCTTAGTTAAGGGATATTGGAGTCTCTAGGTATGACATACACGAATAAGAACTTCCCCTTGTGGTCCCATAGAGCATAACAACATACGGCAAACATCTGTTCCAATCATTAATCCCTACTTACATTACACGACCAGGAGTAGGGTCTGGAGCCTAATACCAGAGATTAGAGAATTGTGGCGGTGAGAGTTTTTTCACAATCCCCCACCGGACTTTACATGTCGCTCAATGCATACAGTCACATATGTAAGGGTATGCATGTACGCATCAGGCAAGAAGCTATATACCGATATCCACACATACGCATACACACGCACATGCATACATACAAAAAAATACATAAATGTCTACATACATGTTTTTCATCTTCTGTATATACATGTACATAAATTTACGAACAATAAACTTATGATGGGCAAGAATGGGGCAAGGTTTTTCAGCTCTACGGACGGTTACGGCATATGCACTTCAGAGTATCGGGTTTTGAGCCCACGGATTGAAGAGTAATTAGGGATTCGAAGATGAGGCTTTCGCGCTTGGCGTTTAGGTCTTGAGGTTTAGGTCTTTGGGAGTTTTGTTGGGGTTCGGGATTTCCGACAGCCAGGTGGAAGCCATCTCTCTCAAGCCAGTGAAGCGTCTGAATACCCAGCCGCTTGGCAGGGTTTAGGCTTTGCCGAGAAGCACAAACGGTGGGGCAGAAATATCTTTCACATGCATCTGAACGCCCTTCACCATAAACGATCCAAGAAGAAAGGGACGGGTCGATGGGAAATGAGTTCCCCACAGGTGTTGCAGGCATGCAAGTTAAAGATAGCCCGACACCCTCTTCTTCTAGCACGTGCTCCTTCAGCCCCTTCACCCCCCAGCCCTGTGCGAAGCAAGCTTAGGCCACTATCTACCGATACTCAGTTCATGTTATCTGTGTTACCGAAAGGCTCGATTGCTGATTTCTAGCTCTATGACAACCCTAAACCGTAAACCCTAAACCCTAAACCCTAGTCTATGTGTTCATGCCATCGTTGTTTAGTGTTGGGCCTACAGGTCCTGGACTGAGGGGCTTCAGACAGTTGAGGGTGGGATGGGTCATGAGGAAACTTTCCGAAAAGTTCAAGGTTTCAGGGCGTCTAGGCGTTGGAGTACCATACTTTAATACTTTTCTCTTTTCAAGGAACCATTATGAAACAACAGTTTATACTTTTTTCTCCCTGAAACCCCTAAAGCCCTAGTCATTCTTGGTTCGGGTTTAGGGTAAGGAGCAGAACAACAGCAAGTTGAATGTGCTTGGGCCCAGGAGTTTCGATTAAGCAGTCATGCTCCTTCCGGTGGAGTGTCAGGAATTAGACAGCCCAGTACCACTTCACGGATGAGTCCTTGCTTGGATCATGTGTGGAAGCCTTATGTGTTACAGCCTACAGCCTAACGTAAGTAAAACAGCTTCGTCGTTCAGTTTCATTCGCTTTCAACCCTCCCAAAACGGACCAGACCAGATCGAGAGGATGCCCGTCTTTAGTTGCCTCAACTAAATTTAAAACCAATCTTTCATTCCCTAAACCCCTTAAGAGAACCTTTTAAGACTCCCTTATGTGAAGCTTAAGCCCAGAAAGAGACCTAAGGCGGAGAATCGCTAACCAGGGCTCGGTACCCCTGGCGCTCCACCAGGAGCTTCTGAGAGGGTTTTTCCCGGGGAGGGGGCATCAAAGATTCGTAACGGTGCCCTGTAATCCCTGTAGGTTTCTGTATTGATTGTTTTAAGTCTTTTTCGTGAATACTAGTGTTAGTGGGGTCTTTGGGCTTTACTGGACTATAAAGTAGGGTTGGTGTAGGGGCCTGAATAAGTCTGTTTTAGCAGTAGCGTCATCACCCCCTTTCTGTCCCTAGGTGGGATCTTGGGGTGTTGGGGTGTGTAGGGCTTTTGGGAGGGTTTATCTGCTTCTTATGGTTGGGTGGAACTCTGTTGCGGGCCCTCGCACCCGGGAGCGACTCCCAATTTGGTATATATATATATATATATATATACTTAAAGGAGTAACTGGGGTTATAAATAAGGTAACTTATAGGCGCATCTAAGCCCACTCATAAGGTGCTTATAACCTGACTTACTAAGTCCCATGATTGTCCAAATAGGGCACGGGGGTCGAGGCCCCGGGGGCGTTATTGACGTTATTGGCCGTGAAGGCTGCATAGAAGATTCGCTTCAGAGTCTTTCTTGGTTTAGGGTTAAGGCTCGGGGATGCCTCCTGACTCCTAATACCTTAAATTATAGGGGCCCTCATATTATATTTTAAGGTATATTCCTCAATTAAGGGATATTAGGCTGCTAGTTGTGGTTTTGTTCGTAATGTATTGAAGCGGAAACCCAAGAAGAGCTGTGCCCTTCCTTCGAAATTCCCGGCACCGGGGTTTTCATTGCTAGCATTCTCGGGTCTGAAATGCTTGAAGGGCTTCGGGACTCGGAGGTGGAGACCTGACAAGGCGCACCAAGAATACATAGTAATAGTAATAGTAATAGTGATGGTGATAGTAATAGTAATGGTAATAATAATAATAATAATAACAATAATAATAGTGTTTTTTTGCGGCTTTAGCTGCTAAGACGAACACCCAACACTCGGAAAAGGCGGAAACCTAAACAGCATCTACCAGTCTAGCACCCGAACTACTGCATAGCACCCTGGGCTAAACACTATGCAGCCTAAGCCCCAAAAGCCTCACCGCTGAACCCCTAAACCCCTAAACCCTGTCTGGCGCAGTCCGAGTTGCGAGAGTGTAAACCCAACCCCCAAGGCGCAAGTCCAGGCGGGGGCGCCAAGCTTATTGCACAACTTGTCTGAATAGGGGCATCTGGCATGCTAAGGCAAGCACCCGCAAACCCTAAAGTTCAGGGTTTAGGCGAAAGCTGCCCGAAACCCCAAGCATTTGAAGGAAACCCTGCAATCCATAAAGGATCCTTTAAAGGACCCCATGAATCCATAAAGGATCCTTTAAAGGATCCCATGAATCCATAAAGGATCCTTTAAAGGATCCCATGAATCCATCAAGGATTCTTGAAAGGATCCCTGAAAGCTCTGGAGTCCTAAGCCCTGGAGGTCACCGACTCTCTCACGCTCAGCTCGACGCCGGAGGACGTGCAGGATGACTTTGCGCTCTACAGTGTTCGCGGTCTTTGGGGGTGTATGCAGGTTCAGGGTTCTTGGGGTTACGCGATTACGGCTTAAGGGTTTAGGGCTTGATGTAGGAACCTGATTAAGAGACCCTGGGCCAAAACTAACCCCAAAATAGTATAGGATTCATATAAGGAACCCTAATAAAGGCCCAAGGTTTCTTAAACAGGTTCCTATATTACTCTATATAGTACCGTTATAGATCCGTTATAGTAACCCATATAGACCCCTTTAAAGGAACCCCAATAAAGGCCCAAGGTTTCTTAATCAGGTTCCTATATTAACAGGGACTCGGCTGTTGTGTTCCCTCCACTAAGTGGCTCAGGGTTTTGGGACTTTGATTTTGTTAGCTGGCTTTTGGGGATCTAGGATGTAGGTTTATGGGCCGGTGTTTGGGGTCTTGTTCTTTGGGTGTGCACGTCAGAATTTTTGTTTGTCAGGCTTTGGCTCGGGATTTGGAGGAGTAAAGTGCTTTTGGTTTGGGGTTTTGTGTCAAGTTTCGGGTCTTCTTCCTGGTTCTGGGGTTTAGTAGAGCAATTAGAGTTCTTTGCGGCTTTGGGTCGAGTCTAGAGTTGTGTTGCTTGAGTTTGGGGTTTTGGCGTCGAGAAGCTCATGAAAAGCCCCGGCTGTCAATGCTTTTTTGACAGGAGCTGAAAGTGCTTGGTCAGCGCTTGGGCACTGTCGCGTACGCTGCTCTGCCGCAGGTTTAGAAACAGCTGCAGCTCTCTTCGGGTTGAATTCTTGAGTGCGGACTTGGGGTTTAGGTTAGGGTTTAACTGACTTAACCCGAGCAAACTATGTCATCCTTTTCATTGTTATCAACAACGTGCAAGTTCTTCGGAGGGGTTTTATTGCTTGAATTTTACATTGTAGACCACAGCCTCAAGAATTCTAGCGCCAAAACCCACACCGTCTTCGCTCTCAGTCGCAAGCCCCATGCACCACTAACACGGCCGCTTGTCAGCCTCCATGTCAACTATAAAAGAAGCATGGAACCCCGAAATTCCAGACCCGGGTGCCCGAAACATCCCCACACACCGAACCAACCTTTTCAAAATCCTTACAGGGATCCTTAACGGAAGCCAAGGGTACAAGCCTTATTCCTCAACTTCGCGCGGTTCCGTCAACCAAGATTCCGTCAACCGCGCTTCCTTCAACCATGTTCCCCGCTTCCCTCAACTCAGATCGTGCCGATTCTTTCAACCCGCATCGCCCGCTTCCCTCAACTCCCGAGTCTGTCAACCCCCATTGCCCACTTCCATCAACTGCTCATTCCGTCAACTCCGCCCCCCCCCGCTTCCGTCAACACTACACTGCAATCTATGCATTTCGCCCGCTCTTTTGCCAGTCTCGCATTGACAAATAGGGCAGACGTAAGTTAGTTTAAACATTTGTAGGTTTTATTTAGTTTAACACAGGAAAGCAAACTTTCGCAGTCTTTAGTTTAAACACAGAAAAACACATTTTCGGAGTCGCGCGTAGGCACCAGTTAGTTTAGACATGGAAAACAAACCGTTTATAGGGTTCATTTACTTGAAACACAAAAAAAACAAACCTTCGGAGTCCCGGGTAGGCGCAGGTTAGTTTAGACATGGAAAACAAACCTTTTGTGGCGTTTATTTAGTTTAAACACAGACAACACATTTTCGACGCCCCGGGTAGGCACCGGTTAAATTAAACATGGAAAACAAACCTTTTGTAGGGGTTATTTAGTTTGAACACAGAAAAACAAACTTTCGGAGTCCCGGGTAGGCGCAGGTTGGTTTAGGCATGGAAAACAAACCTTTTGTAGGGTTTATTCAGTTTAAACACAGAAAAACAAACTTTCGGAGTCCCGGGTAGGCGCAAGCTAGTTTAGACATTGAATTCAAACCTTGAATTGGGTTTATTTAGTATTTAGTTTAAACACAGAAAAACCAACTTTCGGAGTCCCGGGTAGGCGCAAGTTAGTTTAGACACGGAAAACAAACCCGTTATAGGTTGTATTTAGTTTAAACACAGAAAACAAACTTTCGTAGTCTTGTTTAAAGACAGAAGAAACAAACTTTCCGAGTCCCGGGTAGGCACAATTCGTATGGCTTCTTTTTCTGTGTTGGAAATTTGTGTCGTTTTCGCTTTATATCATTTTGGTTGTCTTAGCTTTTTTACCTTTCTAAAGCGATTTCGTATGGCTTCTCCGTTGTACTTCATTTACCTTTTTCTTCGCTCTTGACCCCCCTGAAGCGAGTTCGTGTAGCCTCTTCGTTCGTGTTGGAAAAGACGTTTTTGTGTACTCTTCAGCTATACAGTATTTACTTTCTTTTCTTCGCTTTCAACCCCTTGAAGCGAGTTCGTGCAGCTCTCCTTCTTATTCTTGTAGGAAAGACAAGCTCCACTTTTCTTCTCTTTTTGCCTTCCTAAAGGGATTTCGTGTGGCTTCTTCCTTGACGCTGATGAAATGTTTGTGCTTAGTTTTCGGTTGTACCTCATTTACTTTCTTCTTCGCTCTTAACCCCCCTGCAGCGATTTCGGGTAGCCTCTTCGTTCTTCAACCCCCTGAAACGATTTCGTGCGGCTCGTCTTCTTCTTGTAGGAAAGACGAGCTTCACTTTTCCTCTACCTTTCTAAAGCAATTTCGTGTGGCTTCTTCCTTCATGTTGATGAAATGTTTTGCTTTAATTTTCGGTTGTACCTCATTTGTTTTTTTCTTCGCTCTTCACGCCCCTGGAGCGATTTGGTGTGGCCTCTTCGATCGTGTTGGAAAAGACGTTCGCTTCGGACTTCCTGAAACGATTTCGTGAGGCTCTTCTTCTTTTGTAAAAAGACAAGCGCCACTTCTTTGTTTAGCTTTGTACCTTTCTGAAGCGGTTTTGTGTGGCTTCTTCCTTCATATTGATGAAATGTTGTTTATTCACTTTGTTCTTCGCTTTTAGCCCACCTAAAGCGATTTTATGTGGCCTCTTCGTTTGTGTTGGCAAAGACGTTTTTGTGTAATGTTCTGCTATACAATGTCGAATCTTGTTCGTCGCTTCTGACCCCCGGAAGCGATTTCGTGTGGCTGAATTCTTCGTGTTGGAGATAACGTTTTCAATTAGTTTTTGGTTATGCAGTATTTACTTTCTTTTCTTTGCTTGTAACTCCGTGAAACGATTTCGTGCGGCTAATCCTTGTAGGAAGGACAACCTCCACCTTCCGAGTGTGTTCATCTTCCCTCGGAGTTTGTTTGGAGTGTGTTTTCCTTGGACCAACAAACCGTTCCCCCCAGAGTTTGTTTTTGTAGGAAAAACAAATCCTCCTCTACCCCCGCGCCGCCCAAACCACTCCCCCTAGCATCACTGAAACAAACAAACTTCTCCCATAGGAGTTTGTTTTTCACCGCTGAAACAAACTCACCTGGTCAGGGTTTGTTTGTACCCGCTGAAACAAACTCGTCGAGACGGAGTTTCAAGTTGGTTTGTTTTCCTCGCCTCCCCAACCTGGCTCTTCGTGACCCAACCAAAAGATGATCCGCAAACGTTTGTTTTCTTCCGGCGAAACAAACCCAACCCCTCCTCCCAGTGTTTGTTTCTTTTTGCGGAAAAAACAAACTCGCCTGGACCCCCCCCCTTCGGAGTTTGTTCTTCCTAGTGAAAACGAACCCCTCCCCCCAGGGTTTGTTTTCTGTAGGAAACACAAAGCCCTCCCCCAAAGTTTGTTTTTTGTAGGAAAAACAAAGCCCTCCCCCCAGAGTTTGTTTTCTGTAGGAAAAAACAAACTCCCCTGCACCCCGCCTTCGGAGTTTGTTTTCCTAGTGAAAACAAAATCCTCCCCCCAGAGTTTGTTTTTGTAGGAAAAACAAACCCGGGGCACAAGAATCCGCGTGTTTGTGGTTGAGTAAGTCCTCGTGGCTGGGGTAGCACGCGTGTCTGTAGTTGGAGCGACTCTTTCTGTATAGGTTGAACGAAGCAGTTGTTTGGGTTGAAGGAATCATTCCCGGGGACGTGGTTGAGTGAATCTGCGTTGTTTGGGTTGAAGGAATCATTCCCGAGGACGTGGTTGAGTGAATCTGCGTTCTGAGGTTGAAGGAATCAGGTTTTGAGGTTGAAGGCATCCGCGTTGGCGGGTTGACAGAATCCGCGGGCAGTGGTTGACGGAATAATCGGCGAAAAGTTGAAGGAATCCGCGCGCGACCGGAAGCCAAGCTCGACTCCCAAAGGACCCTTAGGTGGAGTTTTGGTGCGAAGGACATAGAGTACCGACATGTCAGGGTAGTTTTGTTGGCCCCTTAAAGGCTTGATTTTCCTCGTTTATGGTGGAGAGAGCGGAAGCTGGGTGCATGCTCCAGGCTCTTAGAGTTCAGGCTTGAGGATTTCCTGTTAAACGGACAATCGCTTTGGGCACCCGGGTTGTTTTTGATCTTAGCACGGTGGTTCTGACATTCACTCCATGCCTTGCCCGAAACCCATGTCGACATGTTGAGGATCTTGCATATTGGCTCAGATCCAGCTAGGGGCTGCAAGGTGCCTACCAGGTCAGTGCTGACAGTAGTTCACTGGAAAGCACATGCGCACTGGCCCATACTTCCTACTAATCCCTTAACCCTGACAAACCCTACGCAGCAAACTCTCAACCGAATGAGCACTAGACAGCCCTGTTCGGATCAAGGATCCCGATCCAACAGCAGCAGCCATTTAAGGCCCCTGTATTAGGGGCTTAATTTTGTTTTACCAACGCTCGCTCTTCCGCCTCGCGGACGTCGGAGCTGTCATTGAACTAAGTTGAGCAATGCATGAAGAATGCCGACGTAGAAAATTGAAAGTTACTGATCCGTAAGGAAAAGGTGCTAAACCTCTTCTCTACTACACATGACAGACTTTAGTCGCGGCAATCCGCGACTGCGACCAAGCCGAATTCCATCCAAAAGCCCAACGCTCTAAACTCCTCGACCCCACAAGGACTCAACACCTAAAGAAGCCAGGCAAACGGATGTTTCAAGACGACCCGAACCCCAAACCCCAAACTCCTGACGTCCCTCAGCGAAAGCCTTCGAACCCAGAGACTCCAATATCTGGGAGTTTCCGAAAAAATAGTTGGGTCCTTATTATAAGGACCCCAAAATAAGGTACCCCCCTGATTTTCGGAAACTCCCATATTGGAACCCCAAAGCCCAGCCTCAGGCGGCGAATGCTGTCCAATGTTGCCCTCACTCCTCGGAGCACAGCGATTCTGCTTGGGCACCCCGGCCAGGATAATATCGTTTCAGGGCTCGGACGCAGGTTTAGGGCTTTGGGTCTGGGACTTATAGAGTTTACGGGCCTGTGGCTTTAGATTTCTTTAGAGGCTCACATGGCAAGCTTCTAGCACTTAAAGTTTGGGCCCGAAGAAGCTAGGGGTTTCGGTGAGTTTGGGAGCAGGATGGTAGTATACGGGCTTAGCTTGTTGCCAAGACTTTGCCTCAGGGCTCCTGACTGTAAGTATAGCTTAAGCTACCAGAACCTACAAAAAAGTAGGGTCCCTATAAATTCCATATTAGGGTGAATAATAAGAACCTCCAAAAAAGTAGGGTTTGGCAGGCTAAGGTAGTATATCGTATCCCAAGACCCTACTCATTCGAATTATCGAGACCTGGGTAGCATCTCAGAAGGTGAAGAGGCCTTAAGGACCTACGGCTACATGTAACCCTAAACCCCAAACCCCCTAAACCCAAAACCCAAAACGCGCTCTACGAGCCTTCAACTCGAAGCCCAAAGCTTCTTCAGGCCCCCTTGGCTTCGGAGTACGACACGTTCCCCTGCACTCTCTGCCGGCAGAAGGCAGGTTTGGGGTTTGTATAGGGATTAGGGTTTAGGTCTTAAACTGGCTAGACTTGAGTCCAGTGGCAAAAAGGGTTTATTTGCGGTTTAGGACTGCTTAGTTGGTGCTTAGAGCAGAGGGTTTCGTCTGGAGGTATTGCTAGGCGTTACATGCTCTTACAGGGGCTTTGGGCTTGGGTTTGGGTATGCCCACGCACTTGACTATGCTTTCGGTGAAGGGCGTGGGCAGCCCCGCGGACCCTCTTCAGGTGCAGGGTTTACAGAGCCGAGCCCTGAAAGCCTTACCTAACCTCAACCCTAACCACTAAGCTTACTAAAAGGGTCGTGCAAAAATAAAAAGCTTACTAAACTTGTCCTTGCTAAGTAGGACGATAAAATGTACGAAGCCCCTTTGAAGCGCACCAGGTCTCCGCAGCTTGTCCTCAGGAGGCCTACTTTGCGCACTGTGCGGAGTGCTGGCTGCGTGACAGCTTGGGAAGCCATGCTCACGAGGGCGGAAGCCAAACTAGAGAGCTATTTACCTTAAGCTACCCGAACCTACAAAAAAGTAGGGTCCCTATAAATTCCATATTAGGGTGAATAATAAGAACCTGCAAAAAAGTAGGTTTGGCAGGTTAAGGCATAATCTATAGTATCCGTTGCCGTTCCTGTTCTGGTTAGAAACCAGAAAAGTCTTATGTATGTTTAGATTGGTTAGGCTAATACAGAAAATAGAAATGCAGAAGAGGAACTACAGTCGAGACTGTAGGTAGCTCCGGGGGCTTTGCTAACCTTGAAGATAAGAGGTTTTTTAAAATATACTAGGGACGCCAACTCCTGGGCTTTGCATCCTAAGCACATTATAGATCCGCAAAACCCAAATGGGAGCTTCCGAAAATAAGGGGCACCGTATATTGAGGTCCGTATAATAAGGATCCTACTATGTAGGGTACTATATTAGGGTCCCCTATTTGCGGAAAGTCCCAAACCCAAACCCTAAAGCCAAGGTTAGAGCAGAAGCGATTCACCCTTTGCCGAGAATGTTCCACTGCGGAGCCACCATGCTGTACCCTGTCTGTCTCCACATGTATGGGGTTTAGGTATTTATGGTTTAGGGATTTAGGGTTTCGGGGTTTAGGGTTTCGGGGTTTAGGGTTGCGGGGTTAAGGGATTTCGGGTTCAGGGATTTAGGGTTTAGGGGTTTAGGGTTTAGGGGTATGCAGTATGCAGCTTATAGAAATTCTGAAAGGGCCTGGGTCCCAGTTAGTGTTGACCGGGCTCCTGTCTTTTGGAACATGTTTTGGGCCATAACTGCCATAACCCCTACATGGGAGTTTCCGAAAATTGGGAGGTACCTGGTTTTGGGATCCTTATGATAAGGATGCTACTATTTAAGGTACTATACTAGGGTCCCCTGTTTTCGGAAACTCCCTATGTGATTATGGTTGTATACTGTCTTCAAGGCCGCACGTGTCGGGTTTTCCGAGTTTGTAGCTGGGGTCCCTGAAGGAAACTTAGTTTCGAGGCTTCTAGTTTTAACCTTTCCAATATGGCGCAAGGGGTCTCCTGGCCCAAGACGTATCTTGAAAACCGTTTGGGATCATGGTCTAGGGCCCAACACAGGTCTGAGCTTTGGGTTCAGGGCTTAAGGGCATGGATGTCACATGTTAGTTGCGGCTTGTGGTGGTTCGGGTCATTCCGACGCGGAGGTATTGGGTTCTTGGCAGTGGACTGCGGAGTGATACAGAAGCTTTCCCAAGCATCCTTCATTCAGCACAGACGCCCCCATTCGAGGACGATGTAAAGGTTCTATGGGCTCCCCAAACACTACTGCCTACATAGGGCTCTAAGCCCTAGTTGAAGCTGCTGCGTTGAGCGAATCTCTGCGAGAAAGCCTAGGGCTTGGAAGCCTTGCTCTGCACACTTCGGAATCTTTGCTCTGCCTTTCCAAAGCCCCGAATTCTGATGAGGGCTAACGTAGGAACCTAGTTAAGAAATCCTGGCCCTACGAGCCCAAAATGTTAGGATCCATATACAGAACACGAATAAAAGCACGTCCTGTTCATCGGAGTTCACGGTTGTCTGCAGACCTTCTTAATCAGCTTCCTCTATAAGAGTTGAGCCTGCGGTTCGTGAACTCAACTTCAGGTCGAGAGGAAGGCAGTAGCCCCCGTTTTACCCGTCTGAGTTCGCTTGTTAAGGCTTTCTACTCAGTCTACTCGAAAACTGGGTACACTCATTTCCAGTGGATCAGGTCACTCCGAACAGAGCTCGAAACCACACCCTGAAAACTCCTACAAAAATTTCTTTGACGCTGCACAACCTGCTTGTGTGGCCCGAGAATAGAGCTTGCAGGGACGCTACAAAAAAATATCGACAATCCTCCATCGCTTGGATAAGCAGCATGCTTGAAAGCCCCAAAGCTTGTAATATAGGGCCTTAATAATTACCTATATTTTTTTGGTGGCTCCTTATTATATTCACAGTAATTACAGATCCTTTAGTAGCCCTTATAGACCCCCTTAATGCGGTCCCTATATTATAGAGCCCTAGTATCCCTGAAAAGTCGCCCTTTAACCCAGAGACTCCAACATCCCTTTATTACGGAATATTCCTTAAGTTATGGTAGGATCCCTTATATGATTTAAAGTACATTCCCTCATTAAGGAATATTGGAGTCTCTGGGCACATCCCCCTTATAGAGCCCTTTAAAAGAAACCTTATAGTACCCTTATAGTAGCCCTTTAAAGGACCTCCTTAAAGGCCACCCCCCTCCCGGCGGGCTCCGAGGCCCCCATGGCCACACAACGACCAAAACGGAGATTTCGCCCTACGCCGCCTGATGCACCACCACAGTTTAGGGTTTAGGGTTACAGAGCCTCCAAAACCCCTTAATTAAGGAATATACCTTAAATCATAGTAGGATCCCTAATAGAGTTTAAGGTATATTCCTTAATTGAGGGGTTTTGGAGGCTCTGGGTTAGGGTTTAGGGTTTAGGGTTAGGTTCTACCCCGACCCTTGGGAATATCCAAAAAAAAGACCCCTTCAGTGGTGTCTGAAGAGGGTCATGTACATACATATCTACATAAATTTATATCTCTCTCTCTATATATATATATATACATACATACATATTATATGTATATATATATATATATATGTGGTATCATATTCGCTTGGTTACTTTCTGAGTGCTCCCGGTAATTTGGATAGGTTTTCGGTCATAAGAGGTTCGGCTTGATTCGAAGAGCTCCAAGGGATTTCAGGAGGTTGGGTTCACAAAGCAACAATCGCCTGTTTAATGTGTCTATACGATAGCTCAGAACTTACGTACATCCACGACTACCCTTTATATACAGTTATGACATACACCTGGCATCGCCACAGGTGAGACCGTCCTTAACCCTACCCGAGTGCTCGAAACCTAACCCTCCCAACCTTGAATAATTATAATGTGGCATGGGCAAGTAGACCTAGGACTTCGCTCACTCCAGGGGAGGGCATGGAGGCGAGCCGGCTGAGGTTCAAGGTTCAGGCGAGTTTAGACGAAACCGCTATCTTCGACCCTACCACCCCTTTTCACCCCTTTGGCCTGATGTGTGTTCGTTGCCCTTTGCAGGATCCCCTAAATGAGCCCCTCGAAGGATCCTTTAAATGAGCCCTTAAAGGATCCCTTGCAGGCTGTGGGTTTAGAGTTTTTGGGGTTTGGCCCTCGGTTTACACCCAAAGCCCGTGCTGAAACTAGGACTTAGAGTTTGGGGTTCCCTAACCTGTATAAGTACACGTCACCAACCGCAGCCTTAACGACCTCCACTTGGAGGTTCATGGGTAGGTAGAAGTAGGGTTATAAGTAGGGTAACTATACTTATAATCCATATTAAGGGACTTACAACGCTACTTACAATTACCCATGAACCTCCAAGCAGCCCAAAGCAACTGAGGACAGGACGCCCAGCTGCCGTCGTTGCCGCAAAGTGGTGGGTAACCTGGGGGCTGCAGCACCACCAGGGGAGCCGCCGCACGTCGGAAGATGGCTCGACGGGGGTCAGTTGTTAGTTAGTTCAAGAACAGTGCAAGAGGACGCTGAATAAGCAAGCTTCTTGTCAAAGAACAGGTACGGGTACCTAAACCCCAAACCCATAGGGGTAGTTTAGGAGCATCAGTGCACCAGATTGAGTGTTGATTCGAGCCCCGGGGCTCCTAGAGAGAGATCTGCTACTCTAGGGGCCTAAATAATTACCTATACTATTTTTTGGGGGGCTCCTTATTATCATTATAGTATAATATGCCCCGAAAATTCTATTCTAATTATCAAGGCCCCTTCATTACGGGCTTCGGGGGGCTTGTGGCATTTTACTGGGGCTTGCAAGCGCCTGCAACTTCGCCATGTGGGTGTTTCCGAAAATTAGGGGCACCATATTTTGATGTCCTTATAATACAAGGTTCCGACTATTTAGGGTACGACATTGAGGTCCCGTATTCTCGGAAACTCCTATGTCGTCTTCTGAACCAAATACTCTTGAAAGCACCATCGCAGCATCGATCTGGAACCCCAGGAGGGGTGTTTAGGGTTTAGAGGGTTTAGGGTTTAGGGTTTAGGGGTTTAGGGCGTAGGGTTTAGAGGGTTTAGAGGGTTTAGAGGGTTTAGGGTTTAAGGTTTTCTACACAGCTTCGATTCTACGCGAAACCGAAGCCCCAAGCCCCGAACCCTAAGCGGCAAAATGCTCCCAAACCCTCAGAACCCTTACTCCACGCTTTGGGAACGCTAGGCTCAGCCTGGGTTTTCAGTTGCCTTCGGCTTGCAAGGACTTCTCTAAACGGGCACAGACGATGGGCTTTTCCCTTGTGTTGGAGAGAGCTACAGGTTTCAATTATTATGCGTAGCGCTCCTACCGAATATTGAGGGTGGTTCTTACTTGGATGGCGATGTCACCAGTGGAAAATCCGACTTCATGCCGTTGCATGCTGTGAAGAGTTTCGGGTTCAGGGCCGGGTAACTATGAAACTGTTCAGTAGCCTTAAAGTTTTGAGCCGCGAGTCCCCTCCCTTCAGCCCCGCAGCTCTTAACGCAAATGAAATGCAACGGTAAGGCGGGTTAAATGTGTAGAAAGCCGAAGTAAGACTTGGAGTATAGGCCTTCAAGAGCACACTTCCAAGAATACGAGTCGTAGCATCGATGGCAGCACACTAACCCCTAAGCCTAAACACGTAAACCCTAAACCTTAAACCCTAAACCCTAAACTCTGGGCCCTAAACCCTAAACCCTTACTCTGAGGCATTGGTTTCATTGTCCCACCTGCCGCACCGCGAGCAAGAAATCCCCAGACCTTTGCCGTGGATGCGCCGTCCTGCACCTCGCCTGCCCTGACTACCCAGAGACTCCAATATCCCTCTAAAGGGATCTATAAATCTATAAGGGTTCCCTTAAGGGCTCCTATAAGGGATCTGTAGGGTTAAGGACCCAGAGACTCCAATATCCCTTAAATATTCCTTAAATTATGGTAGGATCTCTTATATGATTTACGGTATATTCCTTAATTAAGGGATATTGGAGTCTCTGACTAGAGAGATGCAGAGCCCCCGTCAAAAAGAAAGGACTGTTTAATAAGGGGCTTATATCATTCTTGGGAGGTTCCTTATAAGTATAACATAATGGGCCCCAAGACCCTATTCTAATTATGCAGGCCCCTACATAGGCTACACCCTGAATAACCTACCTTTTTAGGGTTCCTTATTAGTATTTTCTTTACATAAGTCCCTAAAAACGTAGGTTCTTCGGGGTTAAGTTAGGGTTTAGGGCTTCATCTCTGGAGGCTACACCCTGAAAGCCTACAGAACTTCGGAGGGCAGGTTCGCGGCTTCGGATGTCCATTGCAAGCCGTTCTGAGTCTTAGTAGCTGAGTAGGCTTAGGTGACCTTTAACCTTTGGGGTTTATATAATCTAGGGTTTAGGGTTTAGGATCCTACCATAATTGAAAAGGTTGATTATCCTTTTTAGGGAGTGTGGATCTCTAGCACCAGGGCTGAGCCCAGCCATAGGGAAGCAAGCCTCACTAGCCTAGAACTCTAAAACCTTGCAGAGGTGGCATGGCTGAAACGACCGTAGAGGGAGTTTAGGGCTTCGGGTTTCGCCCTATCTGTTGCTATGAAGTCTTGGCCTCATGCTTTCGCGCCAGTAGCATCGCTGCGATGATCGGAAACTTGGTTTTCTGATGTAAACCTTAACTAGTCTTTCCGAACTAAAGAATTGGATGTAGCACTGGGGCCGTCAGTATGACGACCAGCTCTGGTAGTCTTGGCAGCAAAGAGAGCATCACTGTCATCGCTCGTACATGGTTCAGGTACTGTGCCGCAGGACACGAGCTGGAGTGGCCACTTGAAGCATTAGCCGAGGGCTCCCATCCTCCCTTCATGGGAACCTTAAAAGGGTTCCTGGCCTTAAGGACGAAATGAACCCTAAAAGGTTTTAAGGTTCATATACCATATAGGGATTCATAGTATATGGGTACAGGGCCCCTACTTTTAAGGGTCATTTGGTCCTTCGGGGGGGCACGTTTGGTTGGAGTTCGCAGCTTTGTATTGCAATCGCAGCTGTACTGCACGCTTGACCATCAGACAAAGCTTCAATGGCTCCTGCGATAGAATCCTGCGGCTGCCAAACATAAGGATTTCGGGCTTTGAGGTAGTCTTGAAGCCCGCAACCCAAATACTTAGTACAGTATAGACCAACCACACAGTAGTCAAATTTGAAGGTGCTACAGTCCTGAACCTTGCTCGAACCCTCCGGAAGACAATCCTAAAGCCCAAGCCCCAAAGCCCCCCGTAAAATCCTCATCGCATCTTTTTGCAATCATGACCTAAACCCTACCCACCCACCTCCAGTCACTGCATCCCTGCACCTTCATACCCGAAAGCATTTGCCCTCAACACTAAATCCGAAGATCTTGCATCCGCCCGATCCTCCACCAGAGGCTTGCGTAATACCACCCGAAACCCTCAAGCCCTAAACCCTGTGAAACCCTCAACAAGCCTCCCTACACCCCTAAACCCCTACACTATGAAACCGTCAAAACGACTCTAAACCCTATACCCTAAACGCTAACCCCTAGACCCTATTGTAAACCCTTAAAAAGATGTCTTAAACCCTAAGACCTAGGCCCTAAACCCGACCTGAACCGTGAAGACGACCCTAAATCCGAAACCCTGGTGTAAACTTTTAAACCCCAAACCCGCAAAAAGACCCTAAAATCCGAAACCCTGTTGTAAACTTGTCAACCCCAAACCCTCAAAAAGATGCCCTCAAACTGACCTTTAATAGTAGGGAATGGAGGAATGAGGTATAATCATAACTACCATTACTACCAGTCTTCCATTCCCGACTAACCAAAGGTAAGCAAAAAGAAGCCCTATGCATCCCTTTAAAGGAAACCTATAGATCCCTTTAAAGGAACTCTATAGATCCCTTTAAAGGAACCCTATAGATCCCGTTAAAGGAACCCTATAGATCCCTTTAAAGGAACCCTATAGATCCCTTTAAAGGAACCCTATAGATCCCTTTAAAGGAGCCCTCAAAAAGAAGCTGAGGATCGCCAGCTTCAAGGGCTTGAAGTCCGTCTGCCAAAGCTGCGGCAGCTCCGGACACCTCAAGGTCCCTAGGGGAGTTTCCGAAATTGCCTTAGGGTCCCTATAGGGTTTAGGGTTTAGGATTTAAGGGCTTAGGGTTTAGGTTTTAGGATGTAGGGTTTAGGATTTAGGGTTTAGGGTTTAGGATTTAAGGGTTCCTTAAAGGGATCTATAAGGGTTCTATAAAGGGTTTACAGGGCAGTCCCTAGGGGAGTTTCCGAAAATGGTTTAGGGTTTGGAGGTTTAGGGTTTGGGGGTTTAGGCTTTGGGGGTTTAGGGTTTGGGGGTTTAGGGTTTAGGGTTTGGGGGTTTAGGGTTTAGGGTTTGGGGGTTTAGGGTTTGTGGGTTTAGGGTTTAGGGTTTGGGGGTTTAGGGTTTCGGGGTTTAGGGTTTAGGGTTTGGGGGTTTAGGGCTTAGGGTTACTACTACTACTACTACTACTACTACTACTACTACTACTACTACTACTACTACTACTACTACTACTACTACTACTACTACTACTACTACTACTTCCTTATTAAGGACGAAATGAACCCTAAAAGGGTTTAAGGTTCATATACCATTATAGGGATTCATAGTATACGGGTATAGGGCCCCTACTTTTAAGGGTAGTTTGGTCCTTCAGGCTAGGGGAGTTTCCGAAAATTGGGGTGTACCTTAGGGTTCCTGTAAAGGGCTGTGATAAGGGTACCATAAGGGTTCCGTTAAAGGGCTCTATAAGGGCTTAGAGCTCCGAAAATTGGGGGGGGGGTACCTTCTTTTGGGGCCCTCATAATGAGGATCCTGCTATTCAAGGTCCCTAGGAACCACGTTCAAGCAGAATACCTTCAACTTTTGTTCTGGGTTGTCCTTTGGGATCTTTCAGTTTCCTCTACTATTTTGTAGAGAACCATAATAGTACATAATTTTCAAAGGGCTTAAAGGACAACTCAGTTTTGCTGTTTTAGGGAATTTTGTTTGACGGAGGGTGAGGGGGGGTTATTAAATTAGGGCTTTGCAAAGATGCCGGAATTGAACGGATAGTTGGCTCTCTGGGAATGCTCTTACTAGGAGTGGACGTGTTCCTTGAATTTGGTTTTATGCGATTGCTCTTAGGGGTTAGCCTCGCCCCTCGGGACGGCGACTTCATAAAGCAGCGCCCGAAGGTACGACCTAAATGAGAGGATCCTTATGCTGAGCGCCCGTAGCACCCGAAGTTCAGAGAAGGGATCAGCATTGCATGTCAAGAGAATACAACTTCCACGACAAGTGAGTCTACAAGCCTTGCCTTCACATCTGTGCCCAAAGCCCATGAAACTCCGACTCTGTATCAAGCAAATGGGGCACTCAGACCCCTAAACAATAGCAGATCCTAAACCCCTGATTTCGCACGGACCGAAAAGTTTTCTTAGCCGTTGACGGGTGCATGACCTCACGCATGGTCTCTACAGCTGATCTCCCTTGTTGGACCCTAAACACTAAACCCTAAACCCTAAACCCTATATTAGAGTACCCTTATAGATCCCTTATAATGGCCTTTATAGAACCCTTTAAAGGAACCCTATAACTATTAACTCTGAACCCTAAACCCCGCTCATATCAGGTCTATCACTGCTCCGAGTGCCAAGAGGCGAGGGAGCAGCGGACTGGTTTCGAACTTCCCTTAGGAAGTATAAGGTTCCTTTAGGGTTTAGGATTTGGGGTTTAGGATGTAGGATTTGGGGTTTAGGGTTTAGGGCTTTAGGGGAAGTATAAGTTAGAAGCTGCCCCCACCCTGTAATAGTGACTATAAGGATTATAGTAGGGCCCGATTATATTCCTATCATACCACTATTACAGGGTGGGGGCAGCTTCTAAAGTATAAGGTTATCTTTAGGGTTTAGGAAAAAGGTTCCTGCAAGGGTTCTTGTAAGGTTCCCTGCAAGGGTGGTGTTCAAAAAAACTGTTCTAGGCGTTGAGCTAAGGGTTAAGGGTACCTTTAGGGGATTAGAGTCAGGGTTGATGGCTCAAGGGCTTTCGGGTTCATGACTGTGGTGTAGGCGAATGGGTTTCGCTTGATCAACCTGGAAATGTGTGTTTTCGACGCCGTTGTAAGACCAAGTTGTTGTAGACGCAGTCCCGGGGAGTGCACGGACCCAGGACCAAGTCCGTGAAAGGATAGGGTTTGGGGCGTAGAGTTTTAAGTTTTAGGATGTAGGGTTCAGGGTTTAGGGAAACTTGTCTCGATCGTAGCCGTCATACCCGGCTGAAGGGGTGTTGTGCAGGGGCGAAGAAAGCCTTGCCATAGAAGTCAAGCGTATCCTCGACTTGACATGGATCCTGGATGGCCTTCAGCATCAGCCTTAGCATCTAAGCACAGATCCTTCCATTGGGTGGGTGTGATTTCGAGCATCCTGCTGAGTTTAAACCTGGAACTGCAAAGGTCCACGTCCTGGCGGTTCCTCAACTCCGACCTGTCAGTCAATACATGGGCCTAAGCCGATCGAACCCACGTGGTCCACACCCTGTATACAGCCCTGAACCGTGAAGGCAAGCGTCCAAGCCTTGCCCTTTCAAAGAAAACGGGGAGCCACAGAGCATATCAGAGTCTGCAAGCCCTCCACCCGCGAGCCGACATCGATGTCGGCACCCATAACATGGAGGCCCGAATGATTGTCAATGTCATACCCCTGTAGTTCCAACATAGCCGACTTCAAACTCTGCTCAAACATTCTACGAAGAACTAAATGATCTGGGTTGTTCTTTGGGATCTTTTTTTAATTTCCCCTACTATTTTGTAGAGAACCATAATAGTAAGTAATTTTCAAAGGGCTTAAAGGACAACTCAGTTATGTGTTCTCTGAGCAGGCTCGCGTCGAAGTGATGCAGCTCGGAGATGATCGCAAAGTGAGCCGTCAATCCGAAACGCTCGAGTTCGCTAAGCCCGAGAGCCCAAAGCCTAAGCCCTCCTGAACCTGTTTAGGGTTTTAGGGTTTAGGGTTTTAGCAATAGGCTTGGCTGCACAAGGGTTTAATTAGGGTTTAGGGTTTAGGGGCCTAAACCTTTAAACTTCTTAAACTTCAAACTCCTGAACCCTGATGCCGAAGACAACATGTCACCCCATCAACACCGAAAACGTCAGACGTACGGGCTGGAACCCGAAGCCCAACCTGACAACACTAAACGCTGCAGCCCCACTCCGAGCCCTCGCTGCATGGTGGAGATGAGGAAGAGGAAGTTTATGGGCTAGGGTTTGTGGCTCTCGCCGAGTTCCCGTACATATGTGAGCTTGCTTTGCTTAAAGACTTTTCGTACATGTACATGTTGGAGGTCGTTTCTGCCCGAAGCCGTGGGTCATAGCTACTAGTTATTTGGGCTTCCGGCTCGGCGCAGATGGTGGATACTCTTTGAGGTCCGTCTCGTGGTTTCATGTTTGGTACCCTTTGCCTGTGGCAGTGGCAGAGGCGAAGGAGCCGATGTCTATCCAGAACGCCTCTTATTGGTGGGTTTGCGATTATTTGTGGTAGGTGCAAGTTGATCAGGGTATTCTAGCAGGATGATGATAAAGCTTTGGTGTTGATCACCACATTTCGTCATAAGCCCTAGCAAAACAGAAACTAAGTTGAAGAACCATTGTTCCCCGGTAGTTCCCTTTTATGTTTATTATAGTATAGTACTGTATAGTAACGTACAGTATAGTATATAGTATAGCATACTACAACCCAAAAGCTTTGTTTAAGCAGAAGCTGAGGTATCCCACGGGCTTGGCTGCCAAGTCTGACGTGAAGTTGGGCGGCCGCGCCGGAGATGTCAAGGATCCTTCCCGGGTAAAGGGAACTCCAGAAAGTTGGAATATGGTTTCAGGGTAGGATACCCTATAATTTACCATAAAGGGCTTAGGATAATCATATTCCAACTTTCTGGCTTTTACTGCAAAGGTTTAGGGCGAAAAGCCCAAGCCCCTAAATCTCTGAAGCCTAACCCCAAAACCGAAGCTTTATGACCCTCTAGGTTCCTCGATGGCGTGCTGTTGCGCTTTCGTCATGGTGTATAGCATGAGGCGTTTCGGAAGCTCTGGTGTAACATGTACATAAACAGAAACCCTTTTTGTGCTTCAATTATGCAACATTCATATATGTACGAAGTTTTATGAACCATCTATAGTTACACTATACTATGCCCCAAGACCCTTCCAATCATTCAGGTCCTACATTGAGCCATTCTAGCGCCGGAGCGGCTGAGGCTTTCCCATCGTTCCTTCAGACTGCAGGAGATGCTATATCGAAGCCCTGCAAACAAACAGTGAAGGGTTTTGGGTTACCACCAAATGAACCCACTTGCAGGTCATGGCCGTAGCTCCGGGCGGTGCCGCTGCCACGGCCGGCGTTGTCGCCGGCCACCGCAGCCGGGCAGAAGAAAGCATTGAAACTTTGAGACTTCCTGGAATCTGGAGTTTTTTTTCAACCAGAAACACGTTTGGATCCGGCATTGGGGCAGTTGGGGAAGTCAGGGTTGCGCTGACTGCGAAGGTTAGATGTCCAGCGCTTTGGTGCTTGGGCTTGGTCTTTTGTGTTTCCGGCTTTCTGCTCAAGGTTTAATAGGAGGCCAGAAGGGGTTTTAGCCTATGGTGGTTTAGTAAGGGTTAGGGTTTCCATTATAGGGTTCATATTGAGGAATCCCTACTGCAAGAATCTTAAACCCCCCTTTTGGCCTCCCATCATCAAGGTTTCGAGCTTGGTGCTAAGAGCTTCGGGTTGACGTTCGGGTTCGCTGCCTCTTTGACAGGAACTCCGGTTCAAGCTTCACCCTAAACCCTGAACTCTGAAGCCAACCCTGAGCCCTAGACCCTCAACGCAGGTCACTGATGGTAGGAAGTCGGTATTCGTTGCCGACCCGAACCCAGAGACCTCGTCTGGCTTGTCCGAGTTGCGAGAGCGTAGACCCTAAAACCCTGAACCCCAAGTCCTAATGTCGAGCGGTAGGTTGGGCCTACGGAGTACCTCAGGTCTCTAAGTCCCAGCGTCGGATGGCATCGGACTCCAGGTCTTAGGGTTTTGGGTTTAAAAGGGTTTAGGGTTTCACGGTTTAGGGTTTAGGGTTCGACCATACTCTACCGATGTTGTTTCTTAGAGGTATAGGCATCCTAGTCTGGTTATACTACGAGACAATGTTATTCCTCAGAGGATTTAGGCATTCTAGTATGATTACAGTACCAAAACATCAAGACCTTGTTTTGATTCTTGAGGCGTTTCCGAAAAGAGGGGGCCCTATTGTAGTACCCTGAATAGTAGGATCCCTATTATAAGGACCCCCAAATAAGGTACCCCTAGTTGTCGGAAACTCTCATTAAGGCATTCAGGCGCATTGCAGTGTGTAGCGTCTTGGGCGTCTCATCCGATGATAAGTGCCGTCGTGAGGGCGACCAGCGCATGTTGGGGTTCAGGGTTTGGGGTTTAGGGTTTAGGGTCTTGTCTTATGAAGATCATAAGACCATAAGATTCCAAAAGCCCGTGCTGAAAAGAGTTTAGGGTCTTCTTATGTGCCAAAACAAGGGAAGCAGGCAACGGGAGGGAGCATTTCGGCGAGCACACCGGCAGGGGTGAAGCTCCAACAAGAAAGCAGACGGATCTGAAGCAGCTACCCAGAGCCTCCAATATTCCTTTTTTAAGGAATATTCCTTCAATTATGGTAGGATCCCTTATATGATTTAAGGTATATTCCTTAATTAAGGGATATTGGAGTCTCTGGGTAACCAGGTCTGCTGTCTGTGAACGACCATCCACCAGCTGTTGCCTCTGGCGCCATTTTCGACGGCGTTGCTTAGTCGCTTTCAGACTTTATATTTCATGTTGTTGGGCCGGATCCCACATGTGTCAAGCTGTGTGCGGATAGAGTGACCTTCGGGTTTGGGGCTGATTGCAACCATGTCACAAGCGTCTAAAGTTCAAGCCTTAGGGCTTAGGGTTGAAATGCGGACACCCAACCGGAAACCCTGAACGGCTTGGCAGACTGTGTGGACCATCAAAGGCCCTAACTCCTAAACGTCCCAAGCCTTAAACCCGTGGTGGCTGGTGATGCCATGGTCGCTTGGGAACGGTTGATGATATGAATCATGCATTATCCATAAGGACTATACCATAATCTGCATAGTTTAGGGTCCTTTAAGGTAATGCAGGGTTTGTATCATCAATCGGAAACAATCGAGAAGACGTGTGTCGATGAGCCTTGCCTGTGTGAAACCATGCCCAAACCCTAAACCACAACATGCAAGGTGAAGGACCAAGCGGTCGCTTGTTTGCAAAGAGCCGGACAGGCAGGCATTCTTCGGGCTCTAGGGTTGTAATTTGAAGGTTAGGATTCAGGGCTCAGGGCTTCGGTGATGGTTTGCGGGCGACCCTAGGCGTGGAATCCTGCAAGCCGTAGTCGCAGGTCTTCGGCAAGTAGTAGTGGCAGGATTCTTCATTGGCCATGTCCTGCACCTTCTGGCCAAACGTTTGAGGAATATAGAAGCTTATATGGTCACCAACATTATTCCTCAGGGCTTCTTACCGTAATTTTCCGCTGAAGGGGCCCAGACCTACACTAGATGCGCATATTAGCCTAGGCCCCGTCCCTGACTGTCGTAAGTGATTCGTTGGTCTAGTCTTACCTGCTGCGACCAGGACGCCTCAAAAATCCAAAGTAGAGGGGGACTCAATCCTGTACATCTCGAACCCTCAACCCTTACATAATCTTGCTGAATCTTACTACACTACCGAACGTAAATCCCACAGACTCCATAAGCGCCGGGCCCCACATCCTAAACCGAAGGTTCTGCTGGAGTTTATCACTGTTGCCAGTTTCGACATCACTCTGGAGTCAGCGAAAGCACTTCAGGACCCGGGAGTGAGGCAGCTCAGAAAGGGCGTAGCTGTAGGATTCGCGGCATGAGGCTTACAAGGCTGACAGCACTGGGAGTGTTTGCAAGAGGGCTTAGGGTTGCACAGGACGAAAAACGTCCCGGGCAGTTTGAGAACCCAACATCAAGGATTCCGGTAATCTTACTTAGCCAATTGGAGAACTTTAAACTGTTTGGCTTTATGTAGTTGGTATATCTTACAAAGTCTGAACTTTCTTGGGGCCTGGTTATTGGAGAAGAGAGTAATACTTCAAGGGCTTCTATCCTTCTGAAGTAGAGGATTTGCACAGCAGACAGATGCATACCGAAACAATAGCAACATCCTGGGACCGGACTTTCCGAACCTCGGCTGTCGTAAAAAGGCGCGTTGGAAAAAAAATGCAACATCAGGGTTGCTACAACAAGAGAAGTGTCACTGACGAGAGCAGGAGCCGCCAACGAACGAAGGAAGATGAACGCTAAACTCTAAACCATGGTAAGAAGAAGGAGTCAATCGTCATGGAGACACGGCACTATGCGCCTCCGCCACTTGCTCAGACAATCAGGAGGGTTTGTGGGGTGTGTGTGTGTGTGTATATATATATATATATATATATATATATATATATATATATATATTACATATTGTACCTATATACACGGTGTCAAAATGTGTATATACGTGTGTATGTATATACATATTGTTCATATGTGTGTGTGTACATATATTCTTTAAATACAGTAAGATACAACTTATAAAGAGGCGATATTCTCTTTGGCTTGATTGCAGGGTCAGGTGTGGGCTTAGGGTAGGCCTTGCGACCTCAGCTCGCGTCGCGTAGCATTCCGTTTTGAAGGTTTGGGTGTTCAGGTTGCAGCGCACCTCCTCGCCCTTAAGGAGCTTGGCTACCCAGAGGCTCCACATTAGTTCTTTTTTGTGGCTCATGTTTAGAATCCTATCAGATAAGCCCAAAAAGGAACTACTATGGAGCCTATCGGTAGGGTCTACCCCAAAGCTTCAGAGGCCGTCGAGCAATCAATTACTCCCCCACCCCCCGATCAAACAGTCTACACACGAGCTCATGCCAAGCCCTTGGCTAAGGAAGGGCCCGTTCATCTACGTCACGGAAGTTCGCAGCAGGAGTGTGGACCAGAGCTGGGTGGGGAGCAAGCGAAAGCCAGCAAACTTCATTTGCGAGTTTGTTTTGGGCGTTCAGGGCTACTACAGGACATGCAGAACCTTCTGTTGGATTCGTTCAGGATTCGGGCCTTTCTTTTCATCTTTGGCTTCGAAAGCCTGTAGCAGATCACGCTTTTCGGTGCCTGAGTTAGTTGAGATAAGTAAAGCCGTTTGCTAGAATCTAGATGAGGGTCCAGGTTTCAGAGAGATTGTAGCCTGGCGCAACCAAAACCCTAAACCGACCTCCAGGACCGTGCAACAGGACCACAACATCGACCGTGGCTTTCGCCTTCTGTCTGTCAACGGCATAGAGGCGAGCTTAAGGGTTTAGTGGTTTCGGGTGTGGGGGGTTTGCATTTCCCAAACCTAAACCTATACTTGTGACTCCGCTTAGCTACGCTTATAGCCATGGAGTCATAGCCTAACATTACGCAGGGCCTGTGCCTAAGCACAAAGTATACGTAACGTCTAGAATGTACAGTACACCTGAACTTCGAAACCCCCTCAAACCCCCTAAGCCTGGAGTCCAAACCCCGAACAACACTTTTAAGCCTGAGAAACAGTACAGAAAGAACCGCAACACCAACGAAATGCTCGTTTTCTTTTGACAACCGAACAGACTGGCTTAAACTCTAACTAAACCCTACAGCATAATTACAATATGTACATACACACATACATGTGTATATACATACATACATGTCCACATGATGTAAGAACCGTCTTTGGGCTGCAGGCCACCGAGTTCGCCGAAGATCAAAGAGGCGTACTCGCAGCAATCACCGAGCGCCTCGAGGCCGGCGACCACGCCTTCACGCCTTTGGTGTGGGGATGCAGAGGGTTTAGTGTTTGCGCTTTGGAAGAGTTTTTTTTGTGAGGGGGGGGGGGGGGCATGGGGTTCGAATAGGTAGCTTAGGCGGTTTGGGAGATTTTTTGGTTGTGTTTGCATTTTAGGAGATGCTTTTATTGCGAGGGGGAGGGGGCGGGGGGGGTGGGATAGATCTCGGTGTTCTATAAGGCTGGTTTGGGGTGTAGGGGCGGCGTCCGATCCGAGAGAGGGCCTCAGATTAGAGCTCCAAAGATTGATTGGCTGTATAAGTACAGGGTTAACCAGTGACCAGGCACTCCATGCAAAAGAATCCCTAGCCGAGGAACATACGTTGAATGATTTGAGGTAGTTTTTGATTGTTAATTAAAGTTGGTGTCTTGTATCCATGTACATCCCTAGGCTTTCGCCTCACGCCCGAAGCGCGGCGGCTTATGTTTACGATCCGTGTAAAGCCTTGGTGTAGTAGCCCATCATACAGGCAACTGGGCTTCTAAGCCTGCAGTTGCGCGGTTGTTCGAAGCTTGAGGCCACCGCGGCTGTCACCCTAGGAAGATGGAGCCAGGCCCTCGCCACTTCAAACAAAATCATTGTTCGGAAACACACCGAACCGCCAAGCCGCGCGAGCATTTATTGGGTATTATAGGGGCCATAATGATTACCTACACTATTTGGGTGTTCCCAAACTATAATCAAAGTATAATATACCCCAAAACCCTCTTCTAATTATTCAGGCCCCTATAGTACATGCCTCCTTCGGGCCGACGGGATCGCAGCATGGTGGTACCCAGAGATTCCAATATCCCTTAATTAAGGAATATTCCTTCAATGATGGTAGGATCCCTAATATGATTTAAGGTATATTCCTTAATTAACGGATATTGGAGTCTCCGGGCAGTCGGAGTGGTAGGCGTGTGACCGTCGTTGTGGTGGTGGAGTAGCTGAGTAGCTGCCACCACCGAGCGCCGATCGGAGGGTCTGAGTTAAACAGCACGGCATCCGATAGTTAGGGACCCAGAAAGAACATAAGCAGAAACATTTTTGCAGGGATATCCCTGCTTCATTATACGGGGGCCCGTTGTCTACACCATGGAGACTTCTTCCAATCTGTCTCCCGCCGCGTCTGCCTTTGCCCCTACCTAAAGCCGGTTTAGGCATGAGGGAGTTAGGGCTGAATGCTGAATGCTTTTATTAAATCCCACCAAGAAGTATCCCTAAACTTTAACTAGAGCAAAGGCAAGTATCACCCTGCGAGATTTCAGTGTAAAATAGCAACCGTAGACCTGCTTATTCTTGTATGTGTACCATACCGTGCCCCGAACCCTCTCTGGCCTGGCACAGGCTCCCTATGCCCTGCGATTCCGGCAAAACGGCCCCAAGGTGCCCTGTCTAGGGCTTACGGTTCAGGGCGGGGTCCAACTTCCGGGCGAAGTCGCACGCCTGTTGCAAAAAAGGCTTTCTGAGGTTTCCCCAAAGGCATGGAGCCCAGCAGTTGTTTGGAGGCGAAAGCTTAGAGGGTCTGAAGAGGTGTGACCACTTCCGCGATGACTGCAGGTTGGGCCTTACAGATAGAGACACGTCGTTGCTGCTGGTTTGCTGGTTCTGGGTCTAGGGTTGAAGAAAGTTGGGTCGACTGCGGCGATTGTCGCTGTGGTGCTGCTGCTGTTGTTGGTTTTTGTTTTCATGAATTGTCAGATGCGACAGCACACTGCAATCGAGCTTCCTTGCCCGTCGGTTCCCGTAACTCTTGTGTTGGGCTTTGGGGGAGCTGCGGAGCGAGCTTGTAAGGTGCAGATTGTGCAAAGAATCAGAAGCCACGATGTCGTGCCGGCCTTTTGAGCTGGATTTAAAGCAAAACCCGGTGTACGGTGATGCCGTTTGGGGGGCTCAAACACTTCGTGTGATTTGGTGTGGGTTCTTGGCCTGTGTTCTTCACAGGAAGGACAGACAGGATAGCACTCAAGCCTGTTCACACGACACCCTTCATTGATGGCCCGTTTATGTATCTAGTGGGGATGTGATGCTGTGTTCTGCGCATGTCGCAATAACGCTGTGCACATCTTCATGCGAGCCACAGCAAAGGCCTTGAAAAGACTTTTTGTTGACGGGGAAAAGGCTGCATGTAGGGTGCTGGCACACTGCGCTCCGCAGTTCTTGTACCACGCCGGCTGTGGATATCTCTGCGATGCTGGGCATAACCTGCAGCCGCACTACGTGGGAACTGCCAGCTTCTCGTCGACGAAAGCGAAGCCATTACTAAGATTAGTTGTTGTGGTCATCATCATCATCATCATCCCTAAATAACTCTAAAGCCTAAACCATGAACGGCAGGGGAATGATGATCATCACCGACCGTACTACTGTACTACTTGGCGTTGCCCGGGAGTGTGCCCCGAAGCAGCGGGTTCCTTTCTTCGGAGCTTGTCTCGAAGTCCAGAGGCTGTCATGAAGTCGGGAGGGCTATTTGGGTGGTTGTCAAAATTAGGGTCCCTTTTTCGATACCTTAAATATTAGGTGCCGTATTATGTGGAAAGCTTCAGGGTCGGATAATTGGCGTCTGGCTTCGAGAGCCAAGAAGCAGCTCCTGGCCTAGAGCCAGCATAGTCGAAGAGCGGCTCATAGTAAAAGTTAAATAGCAGTAGATATTAATTGACAACAGTTCATAGTGATAGTATTAATAACTAATACTCAATAATCAATAACACGATGCAGACTTGGACACCGTAGACCCAGTTGGGAGTTCGTGCTTTACTTACGGCGCATTCACCAGTCTTTGGTGCCTTCTCGCATTTGTTGTCAGAAATGTGGTCGGGGTTTATGAATGATCGCAAGTAGCTCGATGTTTGGGATTAGGGAAGACGATCCTGGGAGTGCTTGCGAACCCGGGAATGAATGAGAAATGCATCGGAGGTTTACGGCTTTGCAAGAAAGCTTCCAACTTGAAAGAACGGCCCAGAGACCGGCTAGATGTATTTACACGCCTCATGAAGCTCATCCCCCTCCGCCCCCGAACGTACTTGAGCCGTAATGCATTTGAACCCTGAAGGGTGTGGGCCTGAAAAGAACAAATTGTTAGGGACCTCCAGCCAGGGTTTCGGATTTCAGGTTTCGAGTTGAACCGGATCCTTGCCACAAGAATCCCTGGAGAACAAACCCTTTCTCTGAAACTCTCAAAGACTCTAAACCCTTATAACCGTAATCCCCAAAGGACCAAGCATCGGCGGCACGGATCTCTCCAGCAACATCCTGAATCCTAGAGCACCATTGCCTTCAACCCTGGAAGCCCTAAAGCCCGAACAAGTACACCCTCAAACGGAACCCCCGAAGATCCCTTTTAGATTGAAATTAGCCATCCCAGGCTGCCAGAAAGGGCACGTTCTCCAGGCCGTCTCCCTCGAGACACTCTCAGAACAGTGCGGCACAGAATTGACTCCACGGCTGCAGTGTGACACGCTTCAGGGCCCGTCTTGTCTCCGGAAGTCACAAGGCGATGTAAAGGATGCTCCCCAACCTGTTACACTGTTACATGTAGCGGTTTTAGCGCTGCTAGGTAGGGGATTGGGCTTTAAGAGCTCATGTTGACTTCCGAGAATCTTTCGGGATGATGTATCGAATTTCAAACATCGGTTTCAATGCCTTATCCTCGAGATTGGATGGAGATTGCAATTTCGTACTTACATTGCTTGAAGAGCAGCACATCTTCGGTACTACTCTGAGTCAGCATGCATACATTGCCTGCACAGGCACTTGGACAAAAGCCATGAGCGACCCGGCACTACTATCTTCGTCCCAAGGCCTCAAAACTTCAGCACTAAACTGAACCCTTCACCCCTAAACTAGAAACCCTAAAGCCTAAACCCCTAAACTCATTGCACTTTAAAAAAAGCTCTAAACTCTAAGCCCATAACCCCAACCAAAAGCCCACCACCGAGCAAAGCCAAAGCAGCTGAGGAGCTGCGATGCTTGCTGTGAAGCGATCTTCGGACCAGCGCGGCCAACGGATCACTCCTATGCCTTTTGGGCTTCCCAGAGACCCCCAGAGCCCGTTAAGGAATACTGCGAGGATCCCCCCTTACTATAATGGTGGGCATGTAAGGTATGTTCCTTAGGAGTAGAACAAGGATCCCCTTATGATCGGATCCCTTATGTAATTGCAGGTAAAAACAAGGAATATATTCCGTAAAGCCATTTCCCAGTCTCTGAGTTTAGTTCGGGTTCAGGGTCGCCAAGGCGACGTGGAGGTACCCTTCACAGAGGCCTTGTCGCTCTTATATGAGCTGCAATACTGCAATTTCCGTTTCCAGCGTTCTTCTCACCCTAAACCCAAAACCCTAAACCCTAAACCCGCGCGCAACGGGAGACCCCGTCTGGCCAAGGCCTAGTCCGAAATGCGAGAGAAGTGAATCTCCTTAAAGGGAACTCCAGAAAGTTGGAATATGGTTTCAGGGTAGGGCTTCGGATAATCATATTCCAACTTTCTGGCTTCTACTTTAATCCCGAACGCTAAACCCTAAACTTCCCTGAACCCTGAACTCCACACCCCAAACTCTAAGCCCTCCAAACTTCCCTAAACCCTGAACAGTGGGACAAAAATCCTGAAGCTCCTTGAACCCTACAGAGACTCCTCGGGTTCCTGTAA